TTGGATCCCCTAGGACTGGAGTTACAGACAGTTGTTAGTTGCCATGTGGGTACTGGGATTCGAACCCAGGTCTTCTGCAAGAACAGCCAGTGTTCTTAACCACTGAGCCATCTCTCCAGCCCCCCAAGGATATTTTTAATTTGGGAAGCAAGAAAAGGAATGTGTGCACTGAACCCTTTTCCATTCTTGGACAGAGGTATAAAATGTACTGAAACTCAGCCTTTTCCTCCCTTAACCTTCTTCTGGCTCTGGCAGCCCATGGCCCATAACTGACCATAAGGGCCACCAAATTCAGTGTGTAGGATTTGAGCTGAGCCAGTCCCTGAGATTTACAAAAGAAAACCTGGATGGAATGGTGAGAGGAAGGGTGCGATTGAAATTCTTTGGAGACCAGGCAGCCTGTGGCATACCCAGAGTGTACTCAGTGCTTCTTAGATGATGGGACTCATAAGCGCCATCAGGGGAGGGGTTCATTCACTCAACCTGAGGGGAAAGGCTTCTTTAGCATCATGAAGGTGTTGACGTGCTTTTCTATGGGAATGTTTTAGACCAGGACCTACATGGTAGCAGAGGCTTCCTCCTATTTTGGTAAAGATTAAGTCAAGTGAAGAGCTGAGAAACAGTGAATTGAAATGACAGTGCTACTGTAACCCTGAGACAGTTTTCATTCATATTTCTCCATATGCTGACATTCAAGGTATAGACGTTTAATATTTGCTCAGCTTTTTGAACTGTTCTAAAACAGAATGTCACACATTTCTCGGTTCTGTGGTGTTTGTGTATAATGCCACCGATAGAAAGAGTTCTGTTGCATGACACTAGCTGTCATCTGCCCAAGTAAAAGAGCAAACTCAATTACCTTACCTCCTAATTTGTTAATTGCTGGCCTTCCTTGTCCATTTCTCTTATAATTTAATTGTATAGTTTACTGAGTGTTGAAAAGCTCAGTATTTCCAGGCCCCTGGTCCCTTTTCATTCGCCAGTTATTAACCCAGGATTAAACTCACCTTCCATTTAGTGGTTTATAGACTGGGTCTTTGCTCGAATCTTCATTTTTCTATGGAAGGGGAAAACCTTAATTTCTCTCTCATACGAGTCTGATGACAAAATGTAAAACAATTATTTGTTAAACTGTTGATTTGGGGACACGCCTAACCAAAGCAAATCCTGTCATGTACAGGACAGGGAGTGTGCTTGCTTTGAGTTCTATGGCAGCAGCTCACACTCAGGCTTCTGCTGCCTTTGCATTTCTGGAAGAATATCCCAGGATTTACTTTTGTGATGTCATTCGAATAGTACATAAAGCTTCTCTAGAGGTTGCATTTGTTGTCTTGTTTACTCTAAAGAAACTAGTATTTCATATGCTAAGAAAAGCAGTTAAGAAGCAGTACATCAGCAATGTCCATTGAAACCGTTTCTGCTGTACAATTCATAAAGAAAACAATTTTTTTCTGGGACCGTTCACCCTGATAGTGCTAATGCTCTAATAATAATTATTAGCACTGCAGACAATAAAAAGGAAATTTAAAAGGCTAGAAATGTGGCCTCCTTTAGAAACTCATCATCACTTAGATAATGGAGTGGGGTTGGAGGCTCATTCTTAAATGGCTGAGGAAGTCGAACACAGAAACCAAGGCATGTCACAGATTTTTAAGCTTATGAGAATTCTAATAGCAAATATGCTGTTCTTGATTGGACCGCTGAGACCATCCTGAAATGGAGTGTAAAGTAAAAATTTATGAGTTAGACATTTTAATATGCTGCTTTGGGAGATTATAGCAGCTCTCAAGGAAAGGATTCAAAAGTACAGTCTGTATAGCAGTTTCCAGTGTCTGCTGGCCAGGTCTAATGCAGGCACATGCTGGTATGACCCAGGGATCCCTTGTAGTGTGGGAAGCCTAACAACTCCTGCCGGTTCACCAGTGTCTAAATCTCCTGTGTTTGCAAGCATATGCTAGCAGGCTGAACTCTCAAGGATTCCTGTGTATCATCAATGTATCTAACTGTACATGCTTTATCCTCTAAAGACAACAGCAAGGGGAATGCCTTGATTTGGGGAAAAAAATCTGTACGTCATGACTCCAGTTCTCTGATTCTGAACTTTTCTTTTGATTTGTGCAGTTTTTTGCCATGTGTATATAACAGAGCACTCCTATGTCAGTGTTAAGGCAAAAGTTTCTAGTACAGCCCAGGAGATCCTGAAGGTCGTGGCTGAGAAGCTCCAGCGTGCAGAAGAGGATCTAGCTCTGGTAGCCATTACCTTCTCTGGAGGTAAATTGTTTTCTAACCTTGAATATTAATCTTTTACTAGATAGGCTCCAAAAGGAGAGAGTTGACATTTTTGTAGAGTGGGCACGCTGCCTCTCACTTCTGGGTCTATAGCTGGATGACCACAGTTACAATATGAAGCTGCCTACCAGAGGTGTTTCCATGACAACAGTGGGGCATCAGTGGATACTGAATTTCTTCCCCAAGAACTGAATAGGAAAACATGCTAGTGTTTTGAAATGTATTATAAAGTGTTTGACTATTTTTTTAACTCTAGATAAGCCTTCTATCTTTGTATTTAAATTAACTTCAGAAATTGTTAAAGGATGAAATTACTATAAAAAAAAAAGAAAATGATGGTCTTGAACTAGTCATCTCGCTGACTGACAGTTTAATGCTTAGACTCCCTTTTAGAAGAAAGGAAACTGTACAGTAAGCAAAAGCTCACAAGGCAGTGCTCTCTCAGGTGATGTGTAAGTGAGGCCTGGTAACAGCTTTTCCTGCTGGGCCTTATTTATCCTCAGAGAAAGCTTTATTGTCTGCTTGGAATAAGATCACACAGATTACAAGCTGACACTATTGATCTGAGCAGCCTGAACAGACCCCTTCGTTTCACTGGAGCCTGTCAGATCTCAATGTCACTGGCCTCCTTCTGGGCTTACAATCTTTATTTAACATCTCATTAACCCTGAGAAAAATTTGAAGAAAGTGACTGAGCATCAGTAGTTGAAAATGGGAATGCTATATGAACTAATCAGCCAGCTGGGCAGCTGGGGGAGGGGGGCAGACATAAGGCATTTCCACTTATCCTCTGTTACTGCTCTGCAGGGAGAAATGAGCCATGGAGTTTCTGAGAGGTTAGAATATTATGTAGCAGTGTGTTGCTTCTCTTGCATTCCTACTCATAGGCAGGTAAAATGGTCCTACAGGTTAGTCCATTATACATGTAAGCAGAGGAAGAGTCCCTCCTCTAACTCTTTGTACATCCTGTCAAAACGTCATCTAAAGTCGAGGGTATAGCTGAGTGGTAGAACATAGGCCTACTATGCATGAGGCCCTAGGTTTAGTTCCCAGGGTGGGGCAAGGCGGGGGGAATCCTTAATCCTGAATTATCTAGGAAAACAAGAATTTGCAAAACTTTTTTTTTTTTTTAATTTTAGCAATAGAGTTATTTATTAAGAAAGGGAAAGCACTCCTAGTAATGAGGATGGGCTTACGAGGAGCTGAGGGAAAAGCATGCAGTCAAGAGCTGTGGTTTAATTTTTAATTTATCTCAGATACACATTGTAGATATTGTATTTTTAATGACCAAAATATTAAATGATTATGAGCAATACTAAACTTCATCGAAGCCATTGTTTGTCTCTCAAGAAAGAACAACTGTAGAGAATGATCCCCTGTACTCAGAATATGCTGGAAGAGGAAAGAGTTCAAGGGAACTCTGCAACACAATTAAGACTCAAGCCAGCTTGAGAATTAGAAGCTGACTCAAGCCAGCCCAGGGCCATGTGAGAATCTGGCCACCAAGGAGTATCTCTTTCACTACCCTGTATCTACTTGAGGGTAGTGCCATTTTCACACTCTTTAAGTTCGATTCAGCAGGGTGGATAGTGACGCTTTATTGTACGTGACCCATTGCCAATCATCCCTAGAAATGCCAGTTTATCCCAGATTATCCACAGATTTGGAAATGTGCCATCATTTTCCATCCATTACGTGGGTTTTGTTGGTTGGTTGGTTTTTTTGGCTTGGGTGTTGGTGATGATGGTCTGTAAGAAGTCTTTTTGCCTGCATCTTACTAATTAAGTAATTTAAATGTTCAAAAATATTTAAATGAGTAGGGGACACAGCTTAATGCATTTTTTTCTCTAGTCAGATACCATTTCACAAATCATGTTTTACTTCTTCAGAAAGAAATGTCACTAAGACTTGGTTTGGTTTTTAAGGAAGGTCTGAGAAATGTTTTGACACTTTCTTGGATTTTCCTAAAAGAAGCAAACTGTTCTTACAGCTTTAGCAGGCCTCTAGCTATTTGGTACCCAGGATAGTTACACGTTTCTGATAACTACCTACCCACTTTTAGTCAGAGGTTAAAATTCAGTTTTAGCCAAGCATGGTGGCACATGCTTTTAATCCCTTCTTTTGGGAGGCAGAGGCAAGCAGATCTCTGTGAGATCAAGGACAGCCTGATCTACATAGCAGGTTCTAGGCCAACTGGTGCTACAGGGAGACCCTGTCTCAAACAAAACAAATTGTTTTAATTTTGGTACTGTAGTAGCAGATTGGAAAGGACTTCAGACCCCACGTGTATAGGACCTTTACTATATGGTAGCAGCCTGCCATTATAGCACTAATGGTCTTTATAATGCTGACCCATTGGGAAGAAAATTATATGATCATTTGTGCACTCTGTATTAACCAGTGATGTTCAAAATAAAATGTGTCATTTAAGATGATGAAGTTACCTGAAACAAAGTATGTAGTTCAGTGTACAAGCTTTATACCTAATTTTAGGGAAATATGTTGATTTATTTTCTGAAAAAAAAAAAAAAAAGAATTGTCAAGCAGATTGGCAGTTTGTATCAAAGGCTTTAAAAATATTTCCTTTCACCTAGTATTTTTATACTGGGAAGTCTTTCTTTAAAAAACTCATGTGTAAGCAGACAAGGATTTATGCACAAGGATGTTGACTTCAACAATATATATTATGGCTGCTACAATAATAGAACCATTTATCAAGCCCTTGTTATGTTCCAGGCCCTATGCTAGTGCTTAACATACATCATGGCATTTAATTTATATGACCCAAAAAAGAAAACCATTAAATGTTCAACAATAGAGGAATGATTAAATTATGGTATAATGGGCTGTTACATAACCAATTAAACATGTCATACATAAATAATTTTGTTAAGTGAGTAAGTGCATATAGTGTAAGGCTGTATGTGGAATAATTGCAAGTGTATATGTATAAGTATGAATGCTAATATATGAGAGTATATGTGGTTATTTTAGAGACATGAATTATAAGTAAGATTTTCTGCCTTTAAACTGTCCTGTGTTTTGAAAGTGACTAAACATTACAGGAAAGCTCAAGGGGGCCACACTCTGTGGGTGCTGAGCAGTAGTATCCCTGATACCACTGGCATCTTTTTAAACTGTGCAAAACTGAACTTATTTACTTAAATCCAAATTATATACTTTTAAATATTTTTCTTGGGCAAGTTTCATTCATTATGTGTAGTGCACAGACTTACTTATGTTTTTAATTACTCTTTATTTTTTAATGAAGAAAAGCATGAATTTCAGCCAAATGACTTGGCCATTTCCAAATCCCTAGAAGCATCTGGTCGGATGTATGTCTACCGGAGAGACCTGGCCGACACTTTGGTAAGAACATTTCCTTGTACTTGAAACACACAAATGGTAGACTCAGAACATATGTGTATGCTTTATAATGAAAAGCATATATCAAGCCATTTCCTCCTCTAGCCACTGATAGGCTTGCCAGATAACATTGATTTGGCAAATCAAATACAGGACCAACTGAAGGAATTCTTAACCCCTCCTAATCTTGCTTCTTTCTGATCACCTGAAATAAAGGATTTGGGATAATGACTCCCTATCCCCTGAGGTCTTAATTCAGTTTCTTCTTTCTTTCCTTCCTTCCTTCCTTCCTTCCTTCCTTCCTTCCTTCCTTCCTTCCTTCCTTCCTTCCTTCCTTCTTTCTTTCCTTCCTTCCTTCCTTCTTTCTTTTTTTTTCTTTTTTACTTTTTTGTGGATGTATGGGCTCTAGATGGAGAAATATTCATGAGTAAGTTGAGAGGGGAAGGGCCTGTCCTTTTGAATGTTCCATTTCCTTGACCAAAGAGAATTGTCATCAGCCTTACTCAAGTGGGATGAGGTTGGTAACAATTAGATGCCTCTGAAGAGTAAGATTTTGGAGAAATGTAACCTTCAGGTTATTTTCTGTGTGGATTTTAAGAACATTTATGACTACAGGAATCTTTGTTATGTGCTGTTTTTATACCTAAAGAACTCTATCTTACAACTGCTTTCTGAAAGGTGGGACTAATTTAGACCCATCATCTAGAGAGAGTAAGCTTTGGCAGTATAACTGAGTCTTCTAGATTTAGGCTCCTTTTTATGGAGTCATCACTGGGGTAGGTTTGCTTTTTTTGGATTTATTATTTATTTGAATGTATGTGTGTCTATGTATGTGTCCGTGTATGGTGGAGGGGTGGAACATGTGTTCCATAGACCATGTAATGAAAACGATAAGTAAAAAGACAGTTTTGGGGAGTCAGTTCTCTGCTTCCAGCATGCAGGTTCTGAGGATTGAACTCAGGTTCTCAAGCTCGACAGCAAATGTCTTTATTTTCTGAGCTATCTTGCTGGCCTTATGTAAAATTATATGCAGGATATCAGCCTAATCATAACAGTAATCAGTGTCTTTCCATACTGATGGCTGGGCATGCATGGCCTGAGAAATTTGCATATTGTGTATCATTGAGCACTCCCAGTAACTCTGGGAGGTTTGGGAAGGCTGAGGAACTTATTTTAGTTTGCAATAGTCAAATAAGGAAGAGTGCTAGGTTTTTAAAAAATATCTTTGACTTATTTATTTTTATTTTATGTGTATGTGTTTTGCCTGCACACATATGTGTACATGTACCACATGTATGCAATGCCCTCACAGACCATAAGAGGGCATCAGATCCCCTGGAACTGGTGTTACTGGGGGTTGTTAGCCATCATATGGGTGCTGGGAACCAACCCAGGTCCTCTGCAGTTGCTGACTCTGAAGCCTCCTGTACCTTCCTGTCTTTAGTAGATACCAAGGAAGAAAGAGAGGGAACCACTTACTAAATTTACATGGGTTCTTTTGTGTTTCCCCTTCCAGCCAGTCAGAGGCCCTGTCTCAATGAAGCAGAACAAGTAAGATACTGCCAGCATTTCTGAGTGAACAATGACTTTGATTCTACCCTTCTCCATGAAAAAAGACAATCTCATATGCAGCTACTATGAGCCTCTTTACATGGAGGAACCCACACTCCTGCTGTCTTCTGTGCTGTCCTCCCTCACCCACATAGCCTCCTGATATAGCCCCCACCCCCATCCCACCCCCCAAGCTTGTTTATACCACTATCCAGGACTTTTTAGAGAGTCTGAGACAGGATCTAGTGAAGTCCCAATAAAATAAACAGGTGCTGTGAGCTATATTCTAAGAAGATTGAGACTCCATTGTTTTTTCCACCAACTTTGGACAGCAATTCACATATTCCTGCAGGAAGCAGATTTAGGAATTTCATCTCCAGAATGTTCTACTTAAAAGAGAACACAATGCGGGAAGACTAGCATTTAAGACTACTCAGTGTACCCACTGGCAGTTGCATATAAATTAGGGAACCTTCTTAGAAATCAAGCCTTAGAGCCATGAAGGAATGGAGTAGAGAAATAGAAAGCATTCCTTGGCCCAGGTAGCAGACAACCTTGAATAACCAAAGGCTAGAACCATGCTAAGGGGGCAATTTTATGGAAAAAATGAGAGGGACAGAAAGCCAAGTTAGCCTGTCCTTATAGCTCCATGCAATTCAGCTGTTAATTCCTAGCCCACTGTTCTCTTGGAGTCTGTTCCATTTTCTGATCCCATACTCACAAAGTCCTGAGCCCTTGGCTTCCTCACCTCAGCACCACAGCCTGTAAGCTTATAGATTACAGAGCTTTTTCTGCACATACTGTGTTCTCTATGGGGACAGAAAGACAGTTTTTGCCTTGACCTACCCTGAAGGGAATCAGCCCTGTGAGAAAGTCTGCGAAGGTCTTTTTCCTTAGTTTTTTGTTCATTTGTTTTTAAAGGAAAACTTTTTCATAAGCACAAAACTTTTAAAATGCAAATTATTTTTCTGGCTAGACACAAGGGTTACACTCTGGCATCCATAGTGCTCCCTTTATCTTACCAGGGTGCCCATGTCATTTATTTTTGCAAAGTAAGTGCCATCCTTTTCTTTATTTTATTTTAATCAGTGCTGGGGATTGAACCCAGGGACCTTGTACATGGTAAATAAGCACAAGCACTCTATCACTGAGCTATACCACTAGCCAAGCCCCATTCTTTTTGTTTTTTAAATCATTAACTTTTCAGTTTCAACCCCTCAAATGAGAAAATGTGCATTTTTCCAATGAAATATATATATATACATATGTATATATATACATATGTATATGAAAATGTGTCTTTTTTAAAAATCTTATTTATTATTTTTATTTTATGTGTATGTGTGTACTGTGTGCATGTAGGTAAGTGCACCAGTGTCATGCAATGCCCACGGAGGTCAGAAGAGGCTGTCGGATCCCCTGGGATGGACCATTGTTAGCTGCCATGTGGGTGCTGGGATTTGAACCCAGGTCTTCTGCAAGAACAACCAGTGTTCTTAACCTCTGAGCCATCTCACCAGCCTGAAAATGTGCCTTTTTATTAGAAAATATCAAATATTTGGGGGAAAGTACCAAATTGTTTTTTAGCAACTTCAACGGTGATGATAGATATAAGGCTGTATTGGCATTTAATCATTTCATGACAGATTTTTTTAAAAAATATTTTATTTATTTATTTTATGTGTATGCATGTATTGCCTGCGTGTAGGCAAGTGCACCCATGTCGTGCAATGCCTGCGGAGGACAGAAGAGGCTGTCAGATCCCGTGGAACTGGAGTTATGGACAGTTGTTAGCTGCTATGTGGGTGCTGGGATTTGAACCTGGGGCTTCTGCAAGAACAGTCAGTGTTCTTAACTGCTGAGCCATCTCTCCAGCCCCTTCATGCCAGATTTTTAAGGATGTTTTGTTACCAACCTCAGAGTGATTAGCCTCCATTTCCAAGGAGAAAACAGTTGTTCCTTAGAATAGATTAGCCACCATGGGCTATAAAGGAAAGAGCTTTTATTTTTACTTCATGTTAGATTTTTTTTCACTATCCAAGGACATTGTAATAAAGTTTGTAAATGTGTGTCTGGGATGAGCCTGAAACGTGTTTCCTGTAAAAGCCATGTCTGTCTTTATTGAAGTGCACTCTGACATTTCTTTTGTTTGTTTTTATACTAACCCTGCTGGCACATTAATTCTTACCAGAAGCCAGAGTGATTCCAGAGCTTTTGCTTTCATTATGCTGTCTGTCAGGGCAGTGTTTTATAATCAGATTTGTGGGTGTGTGGATGCTTGTGAGCTGGTGGGGGAGGGGCAGCAGCAGGCTAACTCACTGAAGTATCATTGATCACATTCTCCTGCTTCCAGGATTGTTTCTGGAATTGGCTGTAACTCACTGAAGGTGAACAGACCAGGGAAAATATTAAGTGCACTCAGAAAAGATGACTTTTCTAATCTAGGTTTCTAGTGCCTTCCTGTGGGCAGCCAATTCACTGTGAAACATTTGGGAATTACTGAAGATCCATTTGCTTCTTTCTGTTGGTTTAGAACCCTTTTGCAGAAAATGAGGAATCACAGCAAAGGTCGATGAGGATTTTGGGAATGAACACTTGGGATCTTGCTCTGGAATTAATGAATTTTGATTGGAGTCTATTCAATTCAATTCATGAGGTAAGTAGGGAGCAGAAAGATGAAAATACTAATGCTGTTTTAACTGAATTTTTCTTGATGACACTTATTCATGTGGTGATGTAGTTTTGCTAGAATAACATGGTCTAAAAGTGGTGTGGAGGACTTAAAGTATATTGAAAGTCTGACTCCATCAGTATTACTGTTCTGTTGCGGTGATGAAATACCATGACCAAAAGCAACTTATGGAAGAAAGAGTTTATTTCGGATTATGGTTCCAGAGGGATGAGTCCATCATGGTGGGGGAGGCGCGGCAACAGGAGTAGGAAACTGAGAGATCCCATCTCCTTCCACACACAGGAAGCAGAGAGAGCAGGAAGTAGGGTGAGGGTATAAACCCTGAAAGCCCACCCCCAGTGACATACTTCCTCCAACTATACCTCCTACAGGTGCCATAACCTCCCAAAACAGCAGGCAAACTTTTAAATACATGAGCTTGTGGGGAACATTTCCCATTCAAACCATCACAGCATCGTAGAGACGTTAGAATATGTGATCATACTTATTTGCTCCCACTACTATCATATGCTTGGTATAAATTAAGTGTAGATATGCAGTGTTTTATATGCATAGATATATTTATAGACGTGTATGATTTGTGTGTGTGATTATGTATGTATATATGATGCACAATGAGAATAATGAACAATTTTACCTTTGACGTTAACATTTCTATTTATGTATATAGATACACAAAAACATCTATCCTTTTACTTAAGAATATTCCATGAATTTTAGACTGTACTATGAGACTTCAAATATTTTCTTATAAATTTTACATTTTTTAATGGCATGGACTTCTCCCTTGAGAACAGTTTATAATATCTATAAATGATAAGAAAATGCTTCTGGCAGTGAGTAAATTTGGTGGCGGCTATGCACACAGGAATCAGGAGATGAAGAACGTGACAGTTCCCTGTACCCCTATGGTGTGTTTGTTTTGTCATGTAGGGAAGTATTTCTGAAGTGACCTTTCCGTTAAGGGGAACTTCATGCCCAATTTAGGGAGCCTCAGGCTTCTCTTTCATTTTGAAATGTCTTTTTTCATATTTTATCATTAAAACATTTCAACAGTATGAACTGATTTGAGCAAATGGTGAATTCATTCAGGCTGACTGACTTTAGTGGGATCTGCCCCTGCTTAAATAGTAGGGAACATGATTTCCTCCATAACATATATACACTCATTTAAGCACAGATCTCATTAATCACTTTGACTATGATCATTCTCTATAATTACTGGTCTTGCTTGCACTTTTTAAATTTTTGAACCCTGTCCTTTATCTCAGTTTTCTTTATCTTCTCATAATATAGCACTGGTTCTTAAAGAGCAACTACTAAGACCAGAGAGATCAGACCACCTGAGAACTCGTTAGAATTACAAATTTTCAGAACCATGCACAGGCATGGTAGTACCCACCTCTTGTCTCCAGTATTTGGGAGGCTGAGGCAAGAGGATTACTGAGACCACAGTTTCACGATCAATCTGGAAACATGGTGAAAACTAGTCTCAAAAGACCTTTTAGTTACTCCACAGACTACTAATCAGAAATGAGGGAGGAGGCCCAGGAATCTGAGCTTTAGCAGTCCTCCGGGTAGTCTTGAAATTTGATTTCAGTTAGGTCTCATGTGTGCTTGTACTGTAGTAGTGTAGTCCTACCACAGTGTTTGTTTCCTCAGTCTCTTAGGAGCTCCTTTGGGGCCCATGATTTAAACTTTAGAAAGTCCCAAACTTCAGTACTAAAACAGATGTGTTCCTTACATTCTGAAAATTTATTTATTTATTGGGTGCTTTTTTGGGGGGTGTGGGGGATAGATGATCTCCCTGTAGCCCCAGCTGACCTTGAACTCCCTATGTAGACCAGCTGTGGGTCTCCCTGACTCTGCCTCCTGAGTGCTGGGATTAAAGTGTACACCACCATACCTGGCCTGAAAATTTATTTTTTATGTAAGAATTCTGGGTAAGATAAATTATTTTGAATTCGCTACATAGTTGTTTGCTATATTTTCTGTTAATACGCTAATGGTACAGAAGTGCTTACTTGCAATACCTCTTAAAGATGACTGAATTTTGAATTTGCTTGAATGGAGCTAAAAATACATAATTTTCTTTCAGCAAGAACTGATCTACTTCACGTTCAGCAGACAGGGAAGTGGGGAGCACACCATGAACCTCAGCCTTCTGCTCCAGAGATGCAATGAAGTCCAGCTCTGGGTGGTCACCGAGATTCTGCTCTGTAGCCAGCTGGGCAAACGTGTTCAGCTGGTGAAAAAATTCATCAAAATTGCCGCTCAGTAAGTTTCTAGTGGTGAAGAGTGCTGTTTCTCCTCTGCATGAGAAAGCATGGTGCTTTTTATTCCTTGTGATAATGATAAGGGGGAGAATGCAAAGATGTGGCCAAATGGCTGAAAAGGTCTATTCTTGAATATTTATGTCTTTGTATTTGAGGTATTCACATCTTAAAGTAAATGTCAAAATACCAGACTGAAGCACTGAGCTGTATACCTAGAACTTATAACCAGGAGGTGTGCACTCCTACAGTGTAGCTGTCTAAACTGCTGTGACCTAGGAAAATGGAAGAAGATGGTGTGAGGGAGTGTGAGAATCGTGGAAAATTGGGGGCTTCTAGGATTCTGCTCATGGCTGCTTAATGCTCACAACACAAGCTTTTGCAGGCTTATTCATTAAAAGTCCCTGTACTAGCTGGGCCCACCTAGACCCTGGGGGTACCCCATACTCCGCCACTCTGAATATATCTCTCATGCATACCATCTTCCTTTTTGGGTACATGTTGGTTGGTTCTGCCAAGAATCGCTACTTCTATTTAGCAAATTGCTATTATTCTTCAAGACCATTGATCAAAGGTTCTTTCTAGAAACCATACCTGACCTACATGTTTGGGTGAAAGCTCCCTCTGCATACACATACTGTTTACCTTTTAAAATTCTCTTTATTATGTTCGTTAACCTGAACCTGTTTGTATAGGAGTCTTTCACTGAACTCCATTCACTTCCGAAGGACAGGGGCTGTTTCTAATGAATCCTTGTATCAGAGGACCTGGTATAAAACATGGAAAATAGTAGTGACTCCATAAATGTTGGGTAAATGAAATTTTGGTACATTATTAGGAGCCTCTCTTAAAATACCAGAGTGTTGGGTTAGGGAGATAGCTCAGTGAGGAAAGTGTTTGCTATGTAAGTATGAGGATATGAGTTCACATCCCAGGCACCCATATAAAAATTGGATGTGACCCTGTGCTTCTCTAACCCCAGCACTAGGTAGAGACAGGAGGCTCCTGGGGCCTCTCTGGCCAGCCATTCTAACTAAAACAGCAAGGTCCAGGTTCTTTGAGAGACCCTGTGTTAAAAAATAGGTAGAGAACAATAAAAAGAAGATACTGGATGCCAACCCCTGGCCTCCACACAACACAGGCATGGATGAGCACTCTTACACACCCTTGATAAACATTTATGCATGTATATACCAGTATACATACACAGCACAAATACCCCAGTATCCCTTGCATACCTCCCCAGCTCAGGCTAACACTGAGTATCGAAGCCTCCCAAGCTTCCCATTTTTTCTCCTTTTTCTTTCAGGGTAATTTTTATACAAATCATTTTCAAGTACAGTTGTCTCTTGGTTCTGTGTGGGATTGATTTCAAGATCTCCTTGAATACCAAAATCCATGGGTACCCAGTTCTGTTATATAGAATAGTGTAGTATTTGCATATTTAATTTGGACATCCTCTCATCTACTTTAAATCCTCTTTAGATTACTTTTACTGCATAATACAATGTAAATCCTTGTTATGCTGAGTTAGGGAATCCTCCCTCCTCCCCCCCTCCCCCCGTCCCCAAGTCTTTACCGCTCAGTATAGATGCAGCCATGTTGGATTAACTATGTAGTGCAGTGTCTGGGATATAAAGGGCTATACACATTTGTATAGTTTATGCAGGAAATACAAATTGATCAGTTATTATATATGCAGATCTGTACAAGATATTGTGGGGAAATTAGACTGAGTCTACTTAATTCTGCCTTTGAGCTTGTAGGCTGCAGGGGGTGCTCCTGTAGCTCAACCTGCTGCTCAGCCAAGCCAAATGGAGAAGTGTCCTGGTGTGAGACCTGATTCTATCCTGGCTTTACAAGAGGAAAAGCCTGTATCCCGGGGTGTATGAAAGAGGTCAGGAAACACTGGTGAAGGAAGGATCATTTGCTATTCTCTTTGAATTCTGGGTAAGAAGAATGCTCTTATCATGGAGGGTACTCTCTGAAGACAGGCAGAAGTGGCACTGGGGCAGGCAGCCTCTGTGTATATGGTGAGCATGGAGTGGAGGTGGGAAGGAAGTGGTAAGGTACTGATTAACAAAGAGAGATGCAGCTAAGCCAAAAGGGATCCTAAATTTCAGCTGAGTTGAGAGGGCAGAAGGGATCCTTTGAAAGTCTGTGGGCAAAAGTCTGATAGGCTGTTCTTTAGGAAAGCCAGCCTTTTTGAAAGTAGCATACAGACTGCCCAGAGATCCCAGAAGCAAGAAGTCAAAGAAGCATCTGCCTGGGGTCTGCTGTGGCTAGAGGGAAGAGCAGGTAACAGGTCTATATCCTGGGCTGCTGCTTTTGTGCTGAGTGGGTTTTGTTGGTGGTGGTTTGGGTCTTGGTTTTTACTCAGTCTTCTAAAATGGGATCTGAGATTCTTGAAGGTGCAGCTATACTAGATAAAAAGCTTTCTTGCAAATGTAAGTTAGGTGGAGAAATAGGACATTAATTTTCCAAAGAGTAAAGTGATGCTACCCAGCTCCCTTTGGTATAAGATTATATCCATCCTCAGGGAAATGAAATATGTTCGCTACTTCTCCATATAGCGCCATGCTTCTGAATTATTTATGGTAGTGGTCTCTCTCCTAACCCATGGGAGAGAATGCCAACCGAAACAAAAAGTTAAATTCCCATAATCATACTAGTAGGAATAACCAAGGAAAAACAGTCATTTCCACAATCATAAAGTGTTTTCTCTGCCTAAGGCATCCAATTTGCATATTCATGTTTCCTCCTTCTCACCACTCCCATCCCCCACCTCTGTGGATTGGGTGGATTTTATTTCCTCACACAGACAAAGGAATGGTTGCTGGACTGGAATGCTTAGTGTCAGACAGTCTGTTCTTACTGCAAAATGAATGGCAACAGGATTCCAGACCAGAGCAGTATCCAATATCTTTACAGTTCATTTATCTTATTCAGAAATTGTGCCTATATTAATTTTAATTTCTTTTTTATAATAGACTCAGATGTTAAAGCTGTGTGTGCGTGTGTGTGTGTGTGTGTGTGTGTGTGTGAATTGTATGACTAAAAAGAAGCTACTATGGATGGGGAAAAAACTGTAAGGAGATAATGGATAAAAGGTGGGAATCATATCTAAAATTTGGTATACATAAATGATGCTAAGTAAAAACACTTCTGATCATGAAAAATGATAAGATCATTTACTTAAAAGTTCTTGTTTTCAGCTTCAGCACCTGCTGCATGCATGACTTGTGCATTCAACAATTGGATGTGGGCAGAAAAAATAAAAATGAGTAGATAAGTTCTCTGACCTGAATGAACATCCTCTAATAGGGATGAACTAACCCGTAGATCCTCCTTCCTATGGGAAGATATAGGAGTAAGAGAGACTCTCAGCAGAGCAGCTGATATTTCAAAATATTAAGTGAGGAGAAAAGGCTAATTCAAGTCCTCTCAGCCTAGTGTGAGCTTTCTAGGTCCTATGGGAATGAGAGAAGTGAATGACAGAAAAGAGGTACTGAAATCACTACGATAGCCTTAGGTACAGTGACTCTCAGAAGTAGATAGGACTCCAAGTCACAGACAGGAAGTACCTTCCTTCACTATGTTCATGGAAGATGCCAAGCAAGGCCCACCTGGGAGAAAGCTGGCAAGAAACCAGATGAAGGGTCAGCAAGACTGGGGTCCAGGGGGCCTCATGCTTAGGTGTAGGAACTGATGGCTGCACCAAAAGCTGGCAGGACCTGGGGACAAGCCATGCCAGAGAAGGCTCCACAGTGATGCAGCAGCAGGACATATGTCCCTAGATGTCTTCTGCTCTAGGAAACAGTGCCTTTCCTTTAGGGGTAGGGAACTTCCTTCCTGTCTTGGTGTCTAGACATAGTTGGACTGGAGCAGTGTCCCAAGGCAAGCAGCACCTGCCAGAACACAGCTTCTGCTATTTTCCTAGTTACTTTAACAGCCTAAGCCATTTTCATACCTCTGACTGTACATTCTTACTCAAGTGCCAGTAAATATTGTTACAACTTTGGAAGACAGCAATTAGTAGCATATATTAGAACCTTCAACTGACAGGCATAGTGGTACATAACCTGTAATCCTAGCATTGGGGAAAAAGAGGCCAGTGTGTGCTACATAGCAAATTTCAGCACAGCCCTGGCTACATAGTGAGGCTCTGTCTTAAAACAAACAAAAACACTTTTCCTATTCATAGTTTTTGTACCATTATGTAATGACTTAATGTCTGTTAAAAAAAAAATCACAAATAAATAAAAAGTTGTATACAGGAGGATGCTCTCTGCAACACTCTGCAGAGTGAGGAAGAATTGAAAATAGCCTGGTGTGGTGGTGCACGCCTTTAATCCCAGCACTCAGGAGGCAGAGGCAGGCAGATCTCTGTGAGTTCAAGGCTAGGCTGGTCTATATAGTGAGTTCCAGGACAGCTGGGGCTACAGGGAGATCCTGCCTCAAAAAGACCAAAAAAAAAAAAAGAAAATAGCAAAGGCTACTCTAGCAAAAAGAAGTAAGCAAGCTATGAAATGTTCTTGTTTTGTTTCATTGATTGGGTTTTTTGTTTTAATTTTTGTTTTGAGTGGGTCTCATGTATCCCCAGGTTGGCCTTGAACTCTGTGTAGTGGAGGGTGACTTTCTTGTACTTCTGATTCCACTGTCTCCACCTCTTGGGTACTGGGATTACAGGAATGTTCCACCACACTCAGTTTATGTGGTACTGGAGATGGAAACCAGGCTTCATGCATGCTAGGCCAGTGTTCTGCTAACTAAGCCATGTCCCAACCCTGTAATACAATTTTTAAAATTTATTTTTACTTCATGAGTGCTTTACCTCCTTATACATAAGCACACCCATGTCATGCAATGCCCACAGAAGCCAGAAGTGGGCATCAAATCCCAAGGAACTGGAGTTATAGATGGTTATTAGCTGTCATGTGAGTGCTGAGAACCAAACCCAGGTCCTCTGCCAGAGCAGCCAGTGCTCTTAACCACTGAGCCATCTCTCCATTCCTTCTAATACATTATTGATGAAGTATTATGTAGCCCTTGATGCTGAGTGCAGACTCCATAGCACACAGTATCACAGTGTATTGGAAAAGCAGGATCCAGGGATTTCCCCAAATACTTTGCTCTGATTCTGTTTGAAATACTGATGGAGACAGCATGGAAGAGGTGTCATAAAAGGAAGCTAAACCCAAATACACCAAGTACCAGTTTGTACCCCACTCACTGCTAAGCACATTCTCACTTTTCTTGTTTATCAATGTAGGGTAATCTTAATCTTAAAGCCTTACCTTAGAGAAATTGCATTCCAGATTAAGAAATCTAGAAGTCAAGGCTGTTCTGGCTGTCCTGGAACTTCACACTCCCTCCACAGGCTTTGAGTTGTTAGTCCATTAATTCCCTGGGCATGTTTGATGACCTTATGGAGTAAATAATGGAGCTCACCTCGATCTTATTTTTCATTTTAATTTCTTATTTGTATAATGAGAAATAATACAAGTCATATTTTATGCGGTGGCCATTTTGTTGGTAGCAAAGAGCATATGTCTGAATGAAACGAGAGAACTTAGACCTGAGAGTAAGAGGGTCCTGTCAAGAACAGCACAGTGACCAGAGCACCACCACGGAGGGTTGCACAACCCAATAGTGTATATAGAAATGGGCATTTCAAAGAGCAGTCACTGAAACGGTAAATGTACACAAAATAGATGTTTGAGGGGGAGGGAGCTCCTGCAATGTCAGAAGGTCAAGAGGGCTTTTCTTGGAAGCAGAGAGGAGCTTTTTTTGGCATTTTTGAGACAGGGTCTCCCTGTAGCCCCAGCTGGCCTCACACTCCCTATGTAGACCAGGATGGCCTTGAATTCACAGAGATCCCCCTGCCTCTGCCTCCTGAGTGCTGGGATTAAAGGCGTGGGCCACCACACCCAGCTCAGGAGCTTTTCTTTTGCATTAGAAACAGTTGGGGCAACCACCTGTGGGTGGGCAGTGAAGGGTGTGTAGGCTGAAGCTGTCACTGGAGTCTTTTACAGGCCTGTGACCACCCACTGGTTGAAAGAATGTTTTCTCAGTGTTCTTTGCTTTCCTTTATTCATAGCTGCAAAGCCCAGCGGAACCTGAACTCTTTCTTTGCTATTGTGATGGGTCTCAACACTGCCTCTGTCAGCCGGCTGTCACAGACCTGGGAGGTGAGCCTTGGGCTTCCCACTGGGAGTTTGGAGTGTTTGGGGTGACAGAATGAAACATTTCAATGTAAACTTTGATTTGAAATAAGATTTAAATGGCTTGAATACAGCTAGACTAAAAAATGTTTTTAGAGTACTGTCTAGGTGATAAGAATAATTTCTATCAAATGGTCTTTAAAATGCTTCTGTAATATGGATGCCTTAGAACAAAAAGAAATAAAAATTATAAAATGCTCAGCCCTCCTTCTGCAGCCCATGAAGGCAGCTCTAGCTCCAGGCTGGCTAGTCCACTTCTAGTCTGGCTTGCATGAGGGGTGTGCAGAGGTGAGTGGGGTACAGGCCTATGGTGGGATATGCACAGAGGTAGAGGTAATGGGGTACTGGCTTATTGGGGGAGGCATGCAGAGGTGAGCAGAGTACTCACTTGTGTGGGGGGTGTGCAGAGGTGGACTGGGTACAGGCCTGTGTGAGGGAGTGTGCAGAGGTGACTGGGGTAGCTGTTTTGCTCATGAAATTAAGTCTTGGTGCCTCCTGCTTCCAGGCCTCAGGCCGTGTTCACAAGGGCAGTGCTATCTTTTTCAAAATTACCAAAGTAATTTTGTATTCAAATTTTCTTAAAGAGCACCTACAAAATACAGTTCGCTTCAGGCCTCTCAGTGCCGGTTCCATATCTACAGATGGTGAAGGCTATTTGGATTATGAGATGCAGGAGCCTAGTTTGGTTGTGACAGGGGTACTAAAGGAATGTGGGAGAAGAGCTGATCCAAATGAGCCCCCAGAACTTAGCCAGACACAGGTATCAGAAGCTGCCTCTCCCAAGGCCCCATCCCTTCCTTCTGTGGGCTTTTTTTCCTCTGCTGTCTTCTCCCTGGTGACTGGGTCCCTCTCTCTGTCTACTATTTCTTTCCCTCATTCTTTCTCTTTCGTGCTCATGCTTTCCTCCTTTGGGCTACAGCCTGTGTGTAGCCCACTGTGGTCTCCTTGGCCTCTGCAGTCCTCCCAGATGCAGTTCCTACCACTGACTGCCCTTCCCCTCGTAGATTCACTCTTTCAGTCAGGGGCCATCCCCAGTGGAATGAACTGTCGTGACCCAGGTGTTGGGGGGTCAGTGCTTCTTCAAGAGGATTTTATAAATGCCGGCCTTGGTGGCACACACCTTAAATCCCAGCACTTGGGAGGCAGAGGCAGGGGGATCTCTGTGAATTCCAAGTCAGCCTGTACTACATAGTGAGTTCCAGCCCAGCTGGGGCTACAGGGAGACCCTGTCTCAAAAACAAGAACAACAAAAAGAGGATTTAATAAAAAGGAATGAAGAAAGAAGGGAGGGAGTTTCAGAGGGAGAGAGGAAAGGAAGGCTTACTTTGGTTAAGGAAACAAGAAAGCTTTTGTACATCCTAAGGTTAAAAGAACTAGAAGATAGATGCCACAGCTAATCAGAGCATCAGGAGAACAAATGGTCAGCAAGGGTCTTTAAGGAATGGAATTTGAATTAAACCTTGAAAGAAACTTGGACATGCAGCTAATGAGAGAAGCCATTCAATTGCACATTGACCGACTACCTACAGTATACCACACACTGTATCAGTGCCATACAAATAGAAAATGGATACTTTATAGCAGAGTGCTGTGTGATCAAGGACGTTTTGAACCAAGTCCCGCTGGCCTAGAGAAGAGCGGGTGGAGGCACTCTTTTCTTTATCAGGGCATCTGGGAAGACTCTTAACAAGAAGCTGGAACAACAGGGCTTTGGAGGTTGAAGTGGGAGTTGCTGGAATATAGGCTGGTCATCCCTGCAGTGGTGACTACAATCCAAGGAAAGTGACCACACTTTCCCGAATAGGGAGTAGATTTGAGAAGCTAAGTCAGAGGTCAGCAAATTTTTAGGTTCTGCAGATGATACAGTCTGTTCAACTACTTGCCATTATAATGTAACTCCTGTAGCTGATCAATAAATGAATGGCTTTGGTAGTTCTCTAGGCCATATTTTAGATCTTGACTGACCTCTGGACTAAGCCAGTTTGATTTTAGGACATTGAGTTTGAGTTGCCATTGTTGGAATGTCCAAAAGTCTAAAATGTGACTCAAAAGAAAGATTGGAATTAATTGCAGCAATTGTGCATTTTATTTAAATAGGGAGACAGTCATAGCAACTCCCTAGTTGCTATGAAAAACTGAGTCAAGATTCAAAATGATTAAACTGAAAAATCTAAGTAGTTTAAAAGTTTGATTAGTATGAAGCTCTGTCACTATTTTGATTCAACTTAGACATACAGATACACACACACACACATACACACACACACACACACACACACACACACAACCAAAAACAACCTCAAACATTACACATCTTCTGAACCTTGTTGTTCATGTTAATAGCTGGAATTTGTAGCACCAGCTTATATCACACACACACACACACACACACACACACACACACACACACACAAAACCAAAAACAACCTCAAACATTACACATCTTCCTGAACCTTGTTGTTCATGTTAATAGCTGGAATTTGTTAAGCACCAGCTATGGACAGTTGTACATTTCATGAGTCGTCTCTCTGTGGCTCAGCTTAGAGAAGGTGGAGACCCAGACCAGGCACACAGCTGGAAAGGGGCAGGGGCAGAATTCACAGTGAGCCTTGTTTAGGTGAGCTGTCTATCACAGGCCACTAAGTCAGTGTGACAGGATTCAGGTTTTCACCTACTCATGTTAAAAGCAGTCTTGAACATCCCCAAGTCCTTTTTCATCTGCCCTAAATTTTAACTTGGTAGAATGGCACATGTTCCTATCTGACATTTTATGTGTCTCTGTTACACTTCACAATTAAATTGTTCAACCCACTAACAGTGCAAGCTGTGTCACTTAAGGTTTTCATGTTCCTTCGCTGTCTGGCCTCTGCTGTGAAATACATCTATATCATTTATATAAAAAAGTCAGGTAATATTGTAATTTCCCACTCGATCCAACTGTTAGAAAGATGAGCACATTTATTAAAGGGAAGATATAAAACTGAAATCTGTGTTTATTAAATACCCACTAATGTGTAGAATGTCTAACCAGCTAGATTCCTGAATGATGTCAAGCCTTTTTTTTTTTTTTTAGCAATATGCCTGTGACAGTCTATTGAGAAGATGATGAAAATTGCATAATGAGATAAAATCAAGCAGAGCCCCATGACAGATATTTAGAAATGTGTTGTGAGTCAACACAACTCAGTGGGACAACCCTTAGTGCTTCTCACAAAAACTACTTTCTTGTGACCTTTCTGTTTGTATTTGTTTTTTAGAAAATTCCTGGGAAATTTAAGAAACTTTTTTCTGAACTTGAAAGTTTAACGGTAAGTAAACAGAACTTATTCTTCAAATTAATATTGGTGACATTGTACTTCACAGTATCAGAGAACCTAGATTTACTGCTTGCTTCTAAAAATATAGCTTTAAGCTGGACATGGTGGTGTAATCCTAGAATTTGGGGAGGCTGAAGCAGGAGGATTCAAAGTTCAGGCCAGCTTGGACTGTGTTATAAGACCCTGGTTCAAAAATAAATAATAAGGCCAGGCATTGTGGTACACGCCTTTAGTCCCAGCACTTGGGAGGCAGAGGCAGGCAGATCTCTTGTGAGTTCAAAGCCAGCCTAGTCTACAAAGCAAGTTCCAGGCCAACTGGGGCTACAGGGAGACCCTGTCTCAAAAAGAAAAAAAGGAAAAAAAGATTGATGGTAGGTAAGTAGGTAGGTAGGTAGATGATTGATAGATGAATCGTAGGTTGATAGATGGATAATAGGTAGGTAGATTATAGGCAAATAGATTGATAGATGATTGATGGGTGGGTGGGTGGATGGATGGATGGATGGATGGATGGATGGATGGATGGGTAGATAGATACAGACAGACCCACAGAGCTTTGCTTCTAAGGGAATGATTAAAATGATAGTTTATGCTTTTCCTTTCCTCTGAAAGTTGTAAGAATAATCCTTTCCATATGATTTTTGATAAGACATTTAAGGCATTTTCCATCACAGCATGAAAGTAATCAGTATAAATTTAGTGTGTAATTAGTGTGCTATGCATTCATCTTCCCTCCTTTTCTTACTGTTTCTTGGGTTAGGTGCAAAGTTTATAGCTTCTTTTTAGAACACAATAAAGCAATGTTCTTGGTTTTCTTGGCATTGACTTTGTATTTGGAGGGCAGTTTTTCTTTGCAATGTACTTAAAAGACTTTGAGATTACCTCATGATAGAAATTATGCAGAGGAAACTACTTAAAGAGCCTATTTGAGGAAAATAATAGGGCGATCAAAAGGTGTCTCTGTCTTTTGCAGTCATTTCCCATTTATTGTAAACCAATAACTTGAATTTCATGCACTGCTGAGATTTCCTGCCCTAATTTAGTGAGTTTATTCTCCTAGGAAATCTTTATCTCATTCTTAGGAAGAATCTATCTATATCTAAATCGTGTTCAAATTGTACAGCTAAGGTAGATTGAGAATTGTTTCTATGGCACATTGATTTTTCTTTTTCTTTGTAATCTTCTTGGTTCGCAGGATCCTTCCCTAAACCATAAAGCCTACAGGGATGCATTCAAAAAGATGAAGCCACCAAAAATCCCTTTCATGCCCTTATTGCTTAAAGGTAATGATTTCCTATTTTTTATGCTATGCTGTTTCATCCAGAAATTTGTCCTTCTAAGTATAGGAGACAAAAAGGGGCTCTTGGCTTATTTCTTTATAATAACTTTGATATTCGTATCAAACTATCTGCATAGAATAGTTTTTCAGATTATTTGTGAAATGTCTAGAATGCTTCATTGTACTTGAGCAGATGTCAAAGCTTTTTCACTTGACTTAGGCAACTTGGCACTGAAAACTTTTATGTGTTTATTTTGCTTTGCTTCTAAGCCCTGTATTATTTTCTTTAATACCATGTTATACTTAATTCAAACAAGAATAAGACCAGCATAAAGAACCCAAACAGCAGTCAGTTGTGTCTGTTTATGTTCCACGTTTCAGACAGCAGCCCATAGTATGCTGATGTGTGAGAAATCCCGTCGGGCAACAAAGGCTATACAGTGCATGAAAACTGCTGGTAGTGCAAACAGTGGACTTTAGTTGGGAGTACATCTGACAGCTCCATGTTATACCACTGAGCTCTCTTCTGTAGAGCACACCCAACTCATGTGGAATATGTCAGTTACACTTACTGCTATCTCAGCAATCTGTCAAGCAAGGGCATCAGTGAGAGAGAAGGAAGTCTGTGGAATATGGCCTGCACTCCTGACAGTCTGTGTACATCTCCACATCAGTGCTTCCCAAGGAAAGGGATTCTTCTTTGACCACATTTTGATTCTTTCAAGAGATTGTATAGAAATAGCCCTTCGGGCTGGAGAAATGGCTCAGCAGTTAAGAGCACTGACTGCTCTTTCATAGGACCCGGGTTCGATTCCCAGCACCCACATGGGGACTATGAACCGTCCTTAACTTCAGTTCCAGGGGATCCTGATGCCGTCTCCTGACCTCTATGGCACTGCACAACACAGGTGCACTCACATACATACAGGCAATACACTCATACACATAAAAAATAATAAATAGCCCTTCATTGAGACCTGTTCCTGTCTGCAGGATCAGGCCCCAATGATGGATCCTATAAATGATTCTAGGAAAGGGTTACATTGCTGGCTGGGCTGGCCATTCTTCCCCACTGCCTCCATTGCTTCCCCAGCTGCCAGTTAAGCTGGCATTCCCTCTTCTGTAGCCATGAAAACTGCAGTGAGTTTCTGTGCTTCTCTGCAGACACTCCTAGTTTTCATCTCACATGAAGCCAGAATCCCTGTGAAACAAGAAAACAACACAGGATGATTGTGAGGTGCACAGCATAATTCATTCAAGCTGAAAGAATCTATTAACAAATAAATGAAAGTAAGGAGTGACTATAACGCCAGCATTACAACTTAAAAGCTTATTTTATTTTTTTAAATTTGTTTGCTTTTAAGTTTATTCAGACCTATCAATTTGATTTTTTTTTTCAACATAAAATGCCTTTAACTGGAGAGAGGGTGAGTGGTGGCAGATGGAAGTAACACGGAATTATTTAAACATAAATGGGAATGGTAGAAAATGAGAAAAGATGTGGGAAAGGAATTGATTTGGATAAGAAAGTATAGAAAGTGCTTGTGAGATGATGTCTTCTCTTACACCATCTCTTTAACTTAGATACAAGCAGAGCTTTCAGCTGTGTATCGGTGGTTCTTCCCCCAAAACGTTTAACACAGTCAAGTGTCCCACACCTGTCTTGAATGCAGTTTTCTGCTCTGTTGAGTTTAGACCTTCCTGTTGGCAGCAAGACAAATTTCTCTCTTTTCTGTAGAAAATGCATTCATTCATTCCAAAAGAACAAGCAGTAAATTAAATGTCCTTCTTTTTACTAGAAGCCTTGAGTTTAAACACTTATTTTTCCTTATCCTAATTTATATCGTTATAAAAAGTTAAACAATAGCAGTATTCTCTTATTTTTGAAGCTTTCATTTTTCTCTGAAATGATTTCCAAAAGAAAAATAAAATGATGTGCTAGGGATGTAGCTCCATTGGTAGAGTGCTTGCCGAGCATGCACAAGGCCCTGGGTTCATTTTCCGGCACCACATAAAACTGGCACGATGGTGAATGCCTGTAATTCAGCACTCAGGAGGTGGACGCAAGTGGATCAGAAGATATATATTATGCATACTATTATACATTTTGGAAAAATACATAGTTTAATTCTTAGACATTTTAATTAAATAGCTATTTGAACTATTTATTGTTTTTGTTTGCTATTATTATTATTTTGAGATAGGGTCTCTGTAGTCCCAGCTGGTCTGGAACTTGCTATGTAGATAAGGCTAGCCTCAACTTCACAGAGATCTGCCTGCCTTTCCCTCCTGGGTTAAAGGCATGAGTTACCATGCCTAGTTCTATTTGAACTACCAGCTCGTATTTAATGAAAGCTCCTTTTTCTCCCACTTGTGTACTTTCTACTTTGAGTTGGTTTTAATTAGAAAATAGGACCAAGTTGAACTCTGGAAAAGATTGGGCCTCCCATGTTTCATATTGTAAATAGTTCCCAGTAATTGGGAAGATTATTAAGTGAGTTACCTGAGGCCACAGGTTATCCTTCCAGCCATCTGCTTTCCTCCTCAGCTGCATTTTCTGGTCATACTGTGTGCTTTTCCCTGCTCTGTAATCCAGCACAGAAAGGGATGAGAGGAATCCTCATAGCACTGGGACAGGATCCAGGAGCAGCTGAGGGTACTGTAGATGAGAAGCATGTACCTTGTGTGTGATGTTCATGGTGATGGTCCCTTACAGTAGAGTGGGGATTGAGTGTGTGTCTTACGGTAGAGATCACTGGGTGATGGTCCCTTACTGTAGAATGGGGGTTGAGTGTGTGTATTATGGTGGAGATCATTGGGCGATGGTCCCTTATGGTACAGTGGCTGTTGAGTGTGTGTATTATGATGGAGATCATTGGGCGATGGTCCCCTACAGTAGAGTGGGGTTGAGTGTGTGTCTTGTGGTGGAGATTGTTACACCCAGATCTCACGACCCCCAGTGACCACCAAGGAGTCCGGAGTGTATGCAGTAGCAAAGAGCCTTTATTCGGGCTTAAGCTCTGGCATCAGATTTCACCTACACAGCAGATCCGTACTGACAGCCCTAATCTAGGGTGGAGTAGGCTTTTATAGGGGAGTTTCACAGAAGCCCACGCACACCAAACACCCTTTAAAATGATTGGATGGTCCTATGCCCTGAGTACGGGGAGGATTCTTATTGGTAGGTGCTGTCTTTAGGGCATTGGAATGCACTGACTGTTATCTGTGGGGCCAGAAGTTTCTATTTTTACCTTATAATATAAGGCTGCCATATGCCCGGGCTTGCCTGAAACAGCTAGTCAAAATGGACTTAAGCCAAGCAAATTACAGAAGCAGAAAGAAGTGGTTAGACGAGTCAGGGTCCCACAGAAGGTTAGATGAGTCAGGGTCCCACATTTCCCTCTCCTAGTAACTAGGGATGACCCAATCATGGGTCTGGGTTGGGGTCTCTAATGAGGGGGTCTATGGGCTGATAATGGGACCTCAGGACCATGGGTTGTACTGCACTCACCCGTTCTCTAATGAAGGCAGCCAGCCGATTTATGACACATGGTCCAATAGTTAACATTATTAGGACTATTATGTCTAGGGGTTCTCGACAGCAGTCAGCCGTGCCAACCACCTGGTTCCTCCCTTGGTACATTTCCCTGACAGAGAGTGCTGGGAAGGTCAGGGTGAGCGTTGCCAGAGGACAATGTAGAAGCCCTTAAGAACAATAAAGTCTTAGCTTGAAGGGATTGTCCATGTCCTTGGGGACTTTTCATGTTTTGGGATCCAGTGCAGTGATCAGTGAAGGGTGAAGGTCATCTTGATCTGGGTGTGGATTCGCTAGCCTGAAGTGGGTGTGATGAATCCAGGCAGTAACTCTGTCTACTTTCACTGCAGTCGGGGTTGTCAGGAGCACCAAGTAAGGTCCTTTCCAGCGAGGTTCCAGAGTCTCTGGGAGGTGTCTGCAGATGTAGACCCAATCGCCAGGCTGGTAGTAGTATGGGGTGGGAGGAGGAGCAGTCTCATAAATGGCTTTCAGACGGGGCCACACGTCCATGTGGGTGCGTGCCACAGCCTCAAGAGAATCAAGCAATTGACGGTTATCAAACTCAGCAAGCAATTCAGCTTTTAAATTGGGGAGAATGGGAGGGGGTCTTTTAAACATGATTTCATATGGAGTTAAACCCAACAGATGGGGGAGTTCCATACCTGGTACAGGGCAAAGGGAAGGGGAGCCACCCATTCCCCATCAGTCTCCATGGTTAATTTAGTAAGGTTCTCTTTTAGGGTTCTATTCATCCTCTCTACCTGTCCAGAACTCTGGGGCTGGTAGGCACAATGTAATTTCCATTTTGCCCCCAATATTTTGGCAAACTCTTGCGTTACCTGAGAGGTGAAGGCTGGTCCATTGTCTGAGCTCAGAAGAGCCGGCACACCATACCTTGAAGAATGTCTTCAAGTAGCCGCTTGGCCACCATTTGCGCATTTTCATGCTTGGTAGGGTATGCTTCAGTCCATCCTGAAACAGTATCTACCAGAACTAAAAGATATTTATAACCATATTTGCCCGGTTTTATCTCTGTAAAGTCCATTTCTCAGTGGGCTCTGGGCTTGGAGACTCTCAACCAGGTCCCCTGTTCTTTGGGAAGGTTCTCAGCATTCATCAGCCTACAGCTAAGACATTTGGAGGCGATTGAATTGACATGTGATTGGAGGTTCAGAACCTTGAGATGGGCATTTCTTAGGAGGTCTTCTGTCTTTCGAGTGCCCAGGTGGGTGGACCGGTGGATGTGATTGAGAAGATCTTTGGCTAGGTTACTTGGCAGGATCATCCTGCAGTCCCCTGTATGCCACCAGGTGTCAATCTTTTGGGATCATGGGAAGTTTGTATATCAGCTTCAGATCTTCCTAATAATAAGGTTGGTCTGGTAGCACAGGTGGCCCTGGGTCCGGCAGATGGATAGCCAGGACTAAGGTTGCTTTCAGGGCCGTCTCCTTGGCAACCTGGTCTGCCTTCTGGTTTCCTCGGACTATAGGCATATCTGTCTTTTGGTGCCCGGGGCAATGGATGATAGCCAGTTTCTTGGGTAGTCATAGGGCAGCCAGTAAGTCTAGGATTTCTTGTTTATTTTTGATAGTCTTTCCCTCAGCTGTGAGCAGCCCCCTCTCCTGGTAGATGGCCCCATGTACATGGACTGTGGCAAAGGCATACCAGCTATCTGTATACCCATTCAGTTTTATGTCCTTGCCTAATTAAAGAGCTTCAGTCAAGGCTATCAGCTCAGCCCTCTGGGCTGAAGTCCCCTCAGGTAAAGCCACCGCCCAGACAGTTTTGGTCTCTGTTACTACTGCTGTCCCTGCATACCTCTGTCCATTCTGCACAAAACTGCTGCCATCGGTGAGCCAAGTGGCTTCTACATCAGGAAGCCACTTGGTTCCACTGGTCGGTCAGGTCTTTTCTGAGCCTGTGCACTTGGCTCAGGATCCCCGTGCAGTTGTGCAAGGGTGTGTCCAGGTCTGGATGGGGCAGCAGTGTGGCCAGATTGAGGGCTGTGCTCGGGAGAAAACGGATCCTCGGGGGTTAAGGAGCAAGCTTTAATAGTGAGTCATCTGAGCATTGCTCAACCAGCGGTTGGGTGGCTGCTGGAGAACTCCCTTGATGGCGTGAGGGGTTGTGATACACAATTCTTGCCCTAAGATCAACTTGTCTGCATCTTTGACTAGAAGAGCCGTGGCTGCTATAATTCACAAACATGGTGGCCATCCAGCAGCAACCAGGTCCAGTTTTTTTGATAGATATGCCACTGGCCTATTCCAGGGACCCAGAGTCTGAGTTAGGACTCCTTTGGTCACCCCCTCCTTTTCACCTATGAAAAGAAGAAAAGGCTTAGTAACATTCGGGAGTCCTAGGGCTGGGGAGGCCAGAAGGGCCTGTTTTTTTCCAGGCTTTCTCTGTGGTTATAGGCCCTCTCTACCACTGCCAAAAGCTCTGGCAGAGTCTTATGTGCCAGTCTATCTAGTTTCTGTAATTTGTGCCGAATGTCGGGTGCTGACTGGTTGACAGAGGGCAATACAACTGCAATCTTGTTTTCTGGTGCCTCTGGATCATGGGTGTATAAATGCGGAACATCTCAAGGATCCTCTCTAAAAAGGCTGCTGGGGATTCTGTCTTTTCTTGCTGCACATCACTAATCTTAGGCAAATTGGTCGGGCGCCTTGCGGCAGCCCAGAGACCCCTTCCCCATTAGAGTTTGGTAGTAGACCCAGAGCCTCTCCTTACCTTCTGCCACATTAAAGTCCCAGTTTGGTCAGGTTAATGGAAAGGCTTCATCGATCAGCACCTGGTTGGTGGTGGGATTCCCATCCATCCCGGGGACCAGCTCCGGGACTCACTTTTGATCCAGTCCCTCTCCTCTGTGGTAAATAGAACTTGTAATAGCTGCTGGATGTCATCCCAAGTGGGCTGATGGGTGAAAAGAACAGATTCTAACAGATCAATAAGCCCCTGTGGTTTCTCAGAGAATTTGGCCGTTTGCAATTTCCAGTTGTAGAGGTCACTGGTGGCAAATGGCCAATACTGCATCTGTTGGTCTCCTGCCTCGTTAAGGGGTCCCACTGCCCTTAAGGGAAGGACAGTGGAGGCTGCCGTGCCGCTGCTCGTGCTGTCCTCTCTGGACCCTCCTCTGAGTTTGGGGGGGCGGGGTCTCATCCCTAGGGGCTTGGGCTGCCTCAGCCTCTCCTGGAGGCTCTAAATGCCCTGGTGTGCCGCGGTGTGGGCAGATATGGGGGAGGCTCACACAGAAGTTCTTCCTCCGTTCAGCCCTGGAGGACAGGATAAAGTGGGGCAGACGGTTTAGTTTCACTTTTCTGATGCTAGTCATCACTCGTCATCACTCAGGGTGAGGATGGTTGTCTTCGAACCCTGCAGCGGCAAAAATGGTTTGAACCATGGGGGTTGGGGCTGTTCAACCAGGGCCTGCCAGGTTGCAATATAAGGAACCTGGTTGGGGTGTCCTGGCTGCCCAAAAATAATATTTTTAACCTTGAAAATAGTGGGGAGGTCAAACGTTCCCCCTTTCAGCCATCCAGTGTCAAAGGTTGCTCAATCATTCCTGCAAAGGACAGAGTCTGCCCTTTTTGACCTCCAGCCCTTGTCCTCTAGCCTTCTTTTTGATGTCAGAAAAATGATCCTGGAAAAGACTCCAAGGTGTTACTTGACTTTGTCCCATGTCCTCAACTAAGTAAGTCACAAATAGCACGGAAAACACAAAGACACACACTGACAAAACAATACTTCCCAGCTCCTTAAGAACTGAAAGTGGGATGTCGGCCTCTCAGCTGCTCAGCGGGCACGACCCGCCTTTCCCTTCCAAAGTTACAAGTAGGATCCAATCCCTATCAGGTGGGTCCAGGAAGTCTCCCAAGTCCCATGGCCTGGGATCTTCCAGCGCGTCCACCTAGACCGCCAACAGGCTAACAAGGTAACAGGGCCCAAATTCAAGAGCGTGCAACACAAACAAGGAGACAAAGACACTTACCGGCCAGACCAGGCTCAACTCTCCGGGGATCCTGTGGGGTCTTGGGGATCCTGGGACAAACCCCCAAATGTTATGCCCAGATCTCGCAACCCCCAATGACCACCAAGGAGTCCGGAGTGTATGTAACAGCAAAGAGCCTTTATTCGGGCTTAAGCTCGGGCCCTCAGATTTCACCTATGCAGCAGATCCTTACTGAGAGCCCCAATCTAGGGTGGTGTAGACTTTTATAGGGAAGTTTCACAGACATCCACGAGCGCCAAGCATCCTTTAAAATGATTGGATGGTCCTATGCCCTGAGTATGGGGAGGATTCTTATTGGTAGGGGCTGTCTTTAGGGCATTGGAATGCACTGACTGTTATCTGTGGGGCCAGAAGTTTCTGTTTTTACTTTATAAGGCTGCTGTATGCCCGGGCTTGCTTGATCTATAGCTTTCTGGGATGGGGGTGGTAAGTGAAGATTATAACATGCCTGGGCATGCCCAGGCTTGCCTGAAACAACTAGTCAAAATGGAGTTAGTGCCTCCTTAAGCCAAGCAAATTACAGAAGCAGAAAGAAGCGGTTGGACGAGTCAGGGTCCCACAGAGATCATTGTTGCAGATCTGTGATGTATTTGAATGAAAGGAAAGTTTAGGTGTCTACCATTTTCTGTCTCCAAACAGTGTCCTTTCACCTTAATGTACCTTGGAATGTGCTCAGGTATGTCCTGGTGACAGGGATCTGGCAGGTCATATCCCATGGCAAATTTTCACAACCCAGTCTTTTAGCTCAACCTTCATCTCTCACTTTTGCTATTACACACCTGCTATCTACACTGCAACAGAGAGAGAGAGAGAGATTGAGATTCCTGAGCAGAATCTAAAGGGAGAGATTAAGGCAGGTAGGAATACATACAGGAAATAATAAGGGAAACATTTTAAAAGTTGCAAGAACAACTGGTGGTCCAGAAATTCAGCAGATTGACTCTAGCTAGAAGCAAGAAGAGACCGAAACTTTTTCACAGCTATGTCCATGTCAAGAGGACCCAGCCTCCCTAGGAGTCCTGGCCCTTACCTATGGCTGCCCCTCAGACCCCAATTTCTTTACATGCTTAGTGCCTATGGATCCCTTAGAAGGCCTTTATGAGAATTGAATGGATTGAATCAGGTAAAGCACTTGAAGCTGTATCTGATAATATTATCACTGGTCATCACTGTCCTTAGGAACATGGATTTTGGGGGAGGGAAAGGAACCAGGCAGATGAAAGACCAAGCTTCCAGGCTTGTTCAGTGGAGGCAGAGTGGGTGCAGCATTATGTTCACTATATACAAACTGTGAAAGCTAACTCTGAACTACTCTTCTCTAAATATTGTGTCATAAAATGAAAGCTTGCAATTATTTTCTGAAAAGCAAAAGTGTGAAAGAGTGAAATAGCCAGAGGGCTTGTAAGAAGACTATATAATTAATTGTGAATGGTTTTCCTACTAGGACATAAGTTTAAAGAAATCTTAAAAAGGACAAGAAGTTCCTATAACCACAGTGTATCAGGGACATCTTAGGGACAGCTGTATCAATGTGTGTGCTAACTGTGTAACTGGTGTCCCCTCCTGGCAGGTTTCTCTTGGGAGTTTAGGGTTTTATTGGCAGGTTTTGGGAGCTCCCACCTTGATAACAGTTTTTATTGACTCTCAGTGTTTCTGTGCATTGGCGTTTTTCAGGCTTTGGGCTTTCTGATGTTGATGACAACATGGTTATTTGCGTGCCCTTTAAATTGAACCATGTTTTGTAGCCAGTGCTCTTAACCACTGAGCTATCTCTCTAACCCTCAACTTCATTTTTTAAAGATAAACTTTAAATCTGAATCTTAACTGTTTGAACTAAAGCAAGTCTAATTTACATTACCAGATTTTTTTTTAAAGCAAGCATATAAATATTAAAAGCCTGTTGCTTATGAATATTCATTTATTTTCTCCTCGGTCTTCTGACCTAAAACATAACGGAGTAAATTAAGTTACAGAATAGCATTAGCTTATATCAAGCAAGTTAAAGTTCACTCTTCATTGTTAAGTGCAAAGTAATGCTTTCAGAATGTTGTACGCACACCCCCACCACCACCACTCCCAAACGGACACATAAACTTTTGCATCAGATATCATCCAGGTTTGTTTTCAGGTTGCCTTGTCAAGTGCATGGCATAATTCCATAATGTCTAAAAAAAAAAATCCTAAGTTGCATTGTTGATAACTACAGCTCTGCTTCTTGATCCATTCCTAATAGTTCATTTATCTTCATATTTTTAATTTTCAGATGTAACATTTATTCATGAAGGAAATAAAACATTCTTGGATAATCTTGTCAATTTTGAAAAACTGGTACGTAAATTTTATTCCTTCTTTCCCCCTTGCCGTAAAGGGAAGGTATGCTTATCTCCTGCTTTGGAAAGGAAGTGGTTTGAGTATCTTTCTCTGTTGAACACATGGAGACTTCAGGAGCTTGATTGCTGCCTGCTGACCAATGTTAGTACACAGTATGTTCCGTAAGAATCAGTGTGCTAGCAAGATTCTGAGAGTGCCTTTTTTAAATGGAATTTCCTTTGGTTAGCATCAGTGACTGTGTAAGCATTATGGAATAAAAATGTGGTGCTTTTCTCAGAATCCGTTCCCACTCATCAGAGGAGCCTTGTTGTCCACAGGTGTCTCTGGAAGCCTAAGTGTAGACTGTTTTTGATACAGGGAGCAAAAAAAAAAAAAATCCTGGAGAGATGTGTCTGTCTCCCAGTAGCCCATGCTTAGATTTATACCTAAGGTTTGTGGAGTCTGAAGTGAGGGGAAGGGACAACTCCTTATGAGTGTTGGATGTCCAGTCACTCCCTTTGCACTCTTTCATGAGAAGTCTTTTCCTAAATTACCTCCAGGACAGCCACAGATACTTTGTTCTCAGTGGGCACCTTAGCATTCCTTTCCTGCCCTTGGGCCAATGAGAAGTTATCTACAGAACTGAGCTGGAGAAGGTGGTAGTGCTCCAGAAAGACTTGGTAACCAGAGAACTGCATGTGTCAGACAGATGACCTTTAGTGTCGTAGATTAAATGTTAACCTCATAGTCAAAAATGATTCCAGCACCCCTCTCCAGGCATCTTGACCTTTGTGTGACCTTTTCAGTGAAGGTAATGGACTTCCATGAATTCTTTTCAGGCTTGAGAGAAGGTCAGTTGAGGCTGGAGTGCCAGACAATGAACAACAGTTCAGACTGAGGCATCCACATGAGGTCTGGTGGTCTGACCTTGGCTTCATGGTGCTCTGCTCCAGTCACCAGGTTTGCTCAACACACTTAGGCTGAGGCAGCACAGGAAGAGTGAAGCTGGGTCTTACATAACTTCCCAAACCCAGAGCTGGACGCTCAAAGACGGACGTCCTCCAGGGACTTTCTGTAGTGCCCCTCTAGCCTCTCCGAAGATGATGGTTTCATGACAAGTTATTTCTGAGGTGGAAACATAGATACATTTTCAAGTCTCTCTCTACCCTGAGTAGTTTAGAATCAGAGCTTAGTTGTTTCAGATGCTGTAGTCAAACCATTGTGCCCAGAAATGGGAAAAATATGAACTTCTTGTCCTGAAAATCTCGGGAAATCTGCTAGAAACCTCAGTTAGAATTCTCAGTTTTAGCAGATTCACTCCTGGTGTTTGGTGTTTATAAATGATTGCACAAATATGAAAATTTTGATAAATTTTTATTTTGCCTCTTGACCAGTGGTCTGGCTTAGAATGCAGGAAGATCTGGGATGTACTGTGTCAACCCTAGTAGAAGTCTTTGTAAAGGTCTAGTGAGTTTTTCTCTGTGACCTAGTGGAGACACAGGAAAGAGCCATTGCTCTCCTTAAAAGCCAACTATTGCCTATTAAGAGCGGACTGGGAGTTGACCTTTTCCCTAAAGGGAACCGGTGGCTTGGCTAGATTCATTGTCATTTCGGTGCCACCACAGTGAAAGAACAATTCCATCAGGTACCAATGGGAACAAGCCATGGAAAGATTCCAATACTCTTTTCACGCTCTTTCCTTCTCATCACCATGTATAGTTCAGCAGAGCCCAACAGTAGGGATTAACACAAAGTGTAAATACTGTCTTCACTGATGTCAATAAGTACACCCTTAATTCTTTGAGGAAGTTTAAGAAAATATCCTAGAAGCTAGTTATGCTGGCTTATGACTATAAGCCCAGTACTTAAGAAGCTGGGACAAGAGGATTCCCACAAGCTCAGGTTCAGCCTGAGCTCCAGGCCAGCCTAAGCTACAGTATTAGATACTGCTTCAAACAAACAAAACACAACAGGCCCTTAGCCATCAGACAACTACTGGCACATCATTTCGTGTGGGGGGCGGGGGGAAGAGAGAGAGAGAAGGATGTCAGGTGTCCTTATCTGTCACTTCCACTTTAGTCCCTTGAGGCAGGGTCTCTTACTGAACCCAGAGCTGGACTGATGACCAGCCAGCCCCAGCAATTCTTGTGTCCCCAATCCCCCCCCCCGCCCCCGCCCACCACCACCACCAGTGCTGAGAACACAGGCACATGCACAGCCATGACTAGTTTTTTTAATGTGGGTTATAGGGATTTGAGCTCATGTCTTCCTGCCTACACCGCAAATTTTCTTATCCACTAAGCCATTCACCCACAACCCCCTAGCCTATCATTTCTAAAGAGAGAAAACTGCATGAAATGGTGATCTGACCCTTAAAGCAAGTGGCACTTTGGACTCGGCATGCCTCAAGTTGACCTCCTTGCATGGAAAAGACAAATGGGGTTAGAATTTTTTTTTTTCAGAAAGACAAAATCAATTTTATATCATACTCAGGTCAGTGTTCTGCTCAGGTGCTGGACCACCTTCACAGAGACTATATTTTTAAGGAATGGTTCTTAGCCAAGGACAGGCTTTCAGTGAAACAGGATCATCGTTCACAGTAATCAACCAATAGGACCTAAGTGAATTAACATATGAGGAGCCAATTCCTCATGGCAGATATTAACTTAAACCACCTAGCAGATAATTCTGTGTGTTATCTTTATCTGACTGACACAGGCCAGCACATTATCTCAGACCACATGCAGATCCAGGAGTGCGCAATGAGTCTAATAAGATTTCTGTTGTTCCCTAGGCTAAGTTCCTTGCTGCCTCAGCAACTCTGTTTCTACTTCAAACTATGAAATGATGAAGAAGCAAAGGGCACTCTCTTTTCTTTTCATTCCTGGATATTATGAGCATGATCTTTTGCCATGTCTCCCTCCCTCTCAGTCAGAAACCCCAAAGATGAAAATCAGGACTCAGATTTAAGTATAGCACACAGCATCCAGCCTTACATTAGGGCCATCCTTTCAGAAGCTGCACAGATAGCATGCGACAGAAATCAGTGTGACGCCACAACCTGAAACAACGGGAAAACTGTCCTGGGAATTGGGGTAGAATTTGAGGAAGGAAATGTAACAATCGGTTCACACAGACATGAGTCAGGTCTCATTTCCTTTGCAAATGCCGCCTAAACTGCTGCTGTAATCACTGCCCTACTGAATTCTCCACCTAGGAGAAGTGCATTAGCAGTACAGTGACAGGAACAATTTAATCAGCAGGTCGGATTCAAATAGTGCTTCTGTCATTCAGCTGATTTTAAGTGAGAAGGTTTTTTAGCGTTAGCATTATTCTTTTAGCAAAAATTCATTGGTGGTTTGCAGTCTGTGGATAATTCAGGGACTGGCCTATGTAGGGAGGATGTAAAAGCCTGACTGGAGGGCCAGATAACAAATGATGTGGATTCCTGAATACAGGTATATTGGGGTTTTGATATGAAACAAACTAGGGAGTTCGTGTGACTCTCCAAAGGACTAGGACATGATGACAACAGTTAGTGATTGCTCTGACAGCTGTGTAGATAGAAGTGGAGGTCAGTCTATTCCAAAACACTATATTTCTGTCATCATGGAACACTGAAAATAGTGGACTGAGCTAAAAGACTATTGTAGGTACACAAGTATGAGGAGATGGGGTGTTGTCAAAAGCTCAGTCAGGCCCAGCTACTCAGAAGGCTGAGGCAGGAAGATTGGGAATTTAAAGCCCGCCTGGGCTACGGAGTTAGTTCTAAGCTAGCTGGGTAACCAAGTGAGACCTTGTCTGAAAATTTAAAAATTCAGGTCTGGGACTGTGGCTCAGCGTTAAAGCACTTGTTTAACATACACAAGGCCTCAGCACTGTCCCCTCCCCCCAAAAGCTGGACATTTCAGAAAACTGGTAGCATGTCAGCTTAGCATGCAAGAAGCCCTAGGTTTGATTCCCCGCTTACGGTGGTGGTAGCTCACATATGAGCCTGTGTCCTAGGCATGCAAAGCCCTGTGGGGTACCTGGTTAAAAGGAAAAGTCGACAGTGGTGACCGTGATACAAAACCGGTATATACCATGCTCCCCAGACAAGCTTCATGGAGAGAAGGCAATGCCTTACCCACAGAGGAAATGCACAAGCAAATGTGGGCAGAAGTATGGCATGCTTGCCCATGGCTCAGAATACCTGCTACCCAGGGTGGGAGCGACTGTTTTTACACAGAAGGACTAAATATTCTTGAAAAATCGAAGTTTAGTAAATCAACTGGAATTATCTCTTGCTCCAAGTGGAGCTCTTCATTTCATACCCAGATGATTACCATTTGTCCCAGCAGGCACTGCTGCTTCTGTAACACCCTAGGTGACCTTCTGTTGCTTTGCATCCTCTTCTGTCTTCCAGCACATGATTGCAGACACTGTCCGAACCCTGAGACACTGCAGGACCAACCAGTTTGGTGAGTAATTGAAGTTAGGAAGAGTGGCACATATTGGCAGTACAGTGGTACTGACAAGCTGTCAGAAGTATTTGGTGGCCCCAGGTTTAAACAGACTATAAAGCATATGCACAGATGTATACGTGTTGTATTCATCTTCTAGAGTCTCACTGTTCCCTCTCCGCATGTTCTGGATGTAGAGAAAGACAAGATGTGACAGATCAGTGTCCTCCTGTGGAAGGCGAGCTTACACTGTCCAGGGTGACTTTAGACAAAAGCTCTCCAGCACCCACCCCTTCTCTTGCTTAACACCTTAGAATGACTGGCAAGTTCAGCAGCATGACCCTGCCTCTAGCCTCTGAGCTCAGACTTCCTGGGATACAAATGTGGTGCCTAAAATAGGCTTCCACAGGAGGACACTGTACTGCCAATATGACAGCAGCTCAGACACGAAGTTTTGGTTGAGACTAAATTATCTGAGTTCATTTTTAACAGTGTATACGAACCTAGTTAGCCAATTAATATTTGGAATAAAATACTATGATATCACTCAAAACAGTTGTGAACTATGAAGTGCCCTGCAAGGGTCAGTTGTGATTGTTGGGACTACTCATCCTGACATATTTTGAATGCTTACAAACTAACAACAAACTTATCTTTATAACCAACCAGTGTTTACCAAACTAAAAGCAATTTCTTGATGTCTTCCAGAGAAGGCATTCTAGAATAATCTTTTCCAGTTGTAAAAAAAAAAAAAATTAACTCTCCATCCTTTTATTTGTGGAGACCAGAGGGTTTTCTTGCTGTTAAATGGAAGAGTTACATACTACTTGTGACAGACAGATCTGAAATTATTTTTTCATAAAACATGTTCTTCATAGAAGAGAGGAAAATTGTATTCACCAAGGGGGGAAATGCTACAGAAAATACTTTGCAACTGCATCCTTTCCTCCCACTCCGGCTGAGCTCCCTTGCCAGACTCACTGTGGCACCCCTCATCATCTCCCCATCCTTCCTGTGACTTTGTTTTTGTTTCTTTTTTATTGTGCTACTGGACTTGCCCCATTTTCCATGGGCTTTATCTTGGGTTCCTTATGAAAGCTGTCCCTAGCAAGGCATATACATAGTCACAACTCACTAACACCTCTAGTAGCCCATGATTCCTTTACCTCCCTGGATTTGCTAGTGGAAAACTTCCTTACTTACCTTCTGGGTGAATGTTAGCCCAGACACATATTTTGTGAACCCACTATGCCTATTAACTATACCTGAGATTTTATCCTGTGGTATCTGTTCATTAATTTTTTTCCAAAAAGTAAAGACACCAAAAAAGTATATGAAATCTGAAAAGTAAACAGATTAATGGATAATCTAGCAAGCTATTGTGTTCAGACACTCATTCCTAACAATTCTAGACTGAGAGGCACAAACCAGTGCGAGCCACCTGCACAGGCTGTACTGCATGGGGCTCAACATGTACTTAGGAGCCATGGGGCCTGGTTTTGAATCCTGGCTGTGCTTGTGTGACTCTGCTCAATTTCCTCATCTGTATAGGGGCTAATACTACGACTTCTAAGTAGTCTGTCCTGTTAAGTGATAAATGCTGTAAATGCCTTATCAGTCTGCTTGTCTGATTTGAACTGAAGTCATTTTCACTGTTAGAATGAGAACACTGCTTCTAGAACTAGCTTATTCTAAGCCTTCATGTGGGATTTACTGCTATTTAAAAATAACATCACTGTTTTCATTAGATTGATTCTTCATTTTCCCTCTAAAAAATAGGAGGTGACATGTCTCCAAAGGAGCACCAAGAATTGAAGTCCTATGTCAACCACCTGTATGTCATCGACAGCCAGCAGGCCCTGTTCGAGCTCTCCCACAGGCTAGAGCCCCGAGCCTGAGCCATTCTCACCACCCCAGCAGCTGCAGCACTTTGAGAAGAGAAGGTGTCCATCCAGTCAGCACATTACTTCCTGTGAGAAAAGAAGTTGCTGAGTTTTATCAGCATACCCCAACACATGTGCAGGAAAGCCAGCCAAAGCAAGTTCAGGAAATGATGTCAGCCATCAGAGGTGGGAGAGGCCTCCACTGCTGTCAGAATGAGAAGGCAGGAGTCAGAGGCATCCTTGAAACAGAAAGGTCTTTCTTGTAATTATTATTTTGATCCAGTCCAAGCTTCAGCTGTGGTCCACCAGCATCAAGAGAAGAAACCACGTTTTGATATGCAGTGGCCATTTATTTTTTTTCAATAGCGCATGGGTACAGCAGGCAGGACTGACACTTTGCCTGGCCTCATGTGTCTGCCCATAGGCTGTTAAGAGACTTAGAATACCCGAGGACAGTGAGTGATGGTCTCTCCAGAGGTCCCAGGAGGAGGAGAGGTCTCTGTCACTATAAACTTGACATCACCAAAAGCCACTTGCATTAGGAGACAAGCAGCTGACAGATGTACCCTGCTGTGCAATGAGAAATGCCAGGCGTGCATCTTTGCATCCACAGTCACGTACTGATCTCTGCACAGCTGCAATCTGCACCACTGATTTGCCCCTGTAAGCAAAGTAGACAGTCACTTTTCCCATAAGGAAATGAGGAGGGAGGCTTTAGGAAATTGACATTAATTTCTGGGAATTTTCTTCACTTTTTTTTTTTTTTTTTTTTTTTTTTTGTGGGGCACAATATGATTTTCAGAAAAGCACAGTGCCAGGTCCGTGGGTGCTCAAATCTGCTTACTAAGGTGACAGACCACAGTGTCCATGTTCTTGTGCCTGAAGAAGTCTTGTGTTTTACATACCCCAGTTGGGCTCCCTGCCCACAGAATCTGAAGATCAGCTGGTAAAGGGCAGGAGTGGAACATGGGGTTGAGTTTGTGAAGCTTTCAATTGGACTTACCAAACTTTCAGTAAGCAAAAAACACCCAGAAACACCTGAAGTCTGATTTATATTGGAGACTAGGAAAGTAGGAAGCCTTTTTGTAATTAGCCTTTTTCTTTTCTTTTTCCCAAAGACTTAGCCCCTTGAGTCTTTTTCTTTTTCTTTTCTTTTTTTAACTCCCATTTTTACAAACTGGTCTCCTGTACCAAACAGGGCTCTTGCTAGTCTCAAGGATTGGTTAGAGGATTTCCTTGAACACTCAAGGAAGCAGAAGGCTTATGGGTTAAAATAAGCCTGCCCTCCCTGCTAGCTAGATGCTAATCCCTTTACTACAATACAAGGCCCCTGTCCAGTGTATTTGTCCATGCATTTCTAATCATAGGGACTTCAGTGTGCTTCTCACCCTCCTGCAGGGTCAGCTCTTGCATGTCCACACAGACTTGCTTCCTGGCCTGTTCAGCACCTTGTCCATCCTCATTACTGCAGTCTGAGGCATGCCCCTTGCCTCCTGAATACCTTGAGAGCCATGCTGTTTCCTGGGCTCAGGACCACAGTGCACTTGAGATACTGCTAGAAGGAACTATATGGAAAGTGTTTTTGGTAGAACTGTCAAAAAGAATGCTACAAGATTTTATACAAACACTCCAACCATGTCTGGTCCCTATAGAAAAGTGCTTTATGGTGCCAACAACAGAATGAGACCTGTTAGAGAAGACTAGAGCCATAAAACTAGGGAAATCCACCTTCCTGGTGCCGGATCAAGCATTTACAAAGCTCTTGGCAATTTCTGAGAACAGCACAGACTTATAGCACAAACACTTGCATCTTTTCTCTAAGCTGGCAACCAGGATTGGTTGGGCTAGTGCAGTTGTGTAAGGCCATTTTGACCATTGTCTTTGTAGCAACTTAATGTATTTACACTAGCCCTACATTGCTCCAAGCAGAACCTTTTGTTTCAAACTGATTTTCGGTGGAGATCCATTTCAGTAGAACATAGTTTGTGTAGACCCCAGTTCAGATATGTGCACTTGGCCACATGGGCCACACACACATCATGTTTTAAAATGTCTTGTGTGGTGCACTGAGATATTCCTGTGTAATGTGTAAAAACAGGTTGGGAGAGCATGGTATGGTTGCTTTTTCCTCAAAAGGAAGATAGGATTTTATTTGGTTTAGATTTGCCTTCTCGTCCCTGTTTTCTGAATATCTAAAAATCCACAAATATTTCTTACTTTTAACATGTGTTTTTAGAGATTTCTCAGACAAGAAGTTTAGAAATTTCAGAAGTTTGAGGAGTCTTAAATCTGACATTTAAAAATTCCAGGCAGAATTGTGGGAACCGGTTTTGCTCCACAGCAAGCTTTTCCTAAGGAACCTGAACTGTTCAGGAAATGGGCAGCTGTGGGAGCTGGCGCTCCATGACCAGGCTGGCCCTATTCTTTTGCCAGAGCTTCACCTCAGCCTCTTCAGAATCAGTGTTGCTCTCCCCAGAAGGGTGGACTAGAAGATATCTAAGGGCTCTTCCCATTTCCCTTTGGATTTTAACATTGCATAAGTTCTCCATTCCCTCTCCAAACCCTATGTAATTGACATTGTCACCAGGGAGTGATGGCCAGGCCCCTCTACATGTGCTCTTTTGGTTAATGGCACAGCTCTCCAGTGGCCCTTGGGTTTTTGAATTTTCAGCATTCCAGCAAAGCAAAACCACTTACAATTTAGCACAGGACAGCAGAACATAAGTTCATGTAATTAAAATCACCACCTTTCCAATTTTTAAAAAGAATGTATGGTGTTTGCAAATCCTCCATAAACTACATGTTTGAAATTCGCTGTTACAGTCTTTGTAATTGCCAAGCGGTGGCTTGGTGGTGGCACGTATTCAAACCTTCATTCACATCTTTTTAATATCCTTGAGTTTGCTGAGAATCAATCCTTTCCTAACTTGCAAGGTCAGAGGTCATGTGGTACATACCTTCGGTTTAGAAACACGAGCATAAAGTCCCATGCTTCCCGGTTTATGGGGAGACATTTCTCAGATTTGCATAAAAGAGGCAGACATGGAAGAGCTGCCGCTGGAGTGGATTTCTGATCTCTAGAACTGGCCCCTCAAAGCTTCTTAATCCCTGCCCTGCAGTTTTGCTATAGCCAACACATATACTGCAAATCCCAAACGAAATGGGACAACCCACCCAGGCTTCTCAGAAACTGGGCAGAATCGTTAATGTTTGGAAGATCAGGCCCATTGCAGTTGTCCAACACAGGATTTCTTCTCAACTTCAAAGACATGTCCTTAAAATTTCAGCCTGCTCGTTAACTGAATAAGCCAATTTTGCTTTAGACTGGTAGAGGAAACAAGTTTTTAAAAATTGCCAAAAACTTAGATGAAAATGTACTACTGTAAAGCAAAGCTGTATATACTAAACATTTTTTAGCAGAGTACTATTTATTTGCATAGCCTATTTATTGTATTCGTATTACACTGTTATTAAATACTTGGATGAAATCAATGACCGGAAGCAAGGACTTTTGCCTTTGGATGTATCATTGCGTAGGACTGCTGTGACATGCCAGCTTGCGATAACAATTAGAAGACAGAAAGCCTGCAGTCCGGGCGTCTACCTAACTTCTCAGGGACTACACTTTGTAGTTTTCCACCATTCTAAGAGTTGGTAAATATGAGACATTTGTTGAATTACCAGAACTGCCATCGCCAGTGTTTCCTTTCGTATGGCCCATGCTTTCTGCCTCTGTACATATGACTGTGCTGTGTATTTATCGAAGCTAGGAAGCAATAATTTATATGTAAAAATGGCCAAGCAATATAAGGTTAAAACTTATATAGGTAACCGTTACCTTATCTTGTATTTTCAAGTGTTATTTTTAACTGCTTTTCCAAATATAAGACTATGTTAAACAGACCATTCATGCTTTGCCCTGTTGCCTTTTTCTACAATGGTGTCTGTGGGCTTCGTGACCTCTGTTCCAACAGCATCTTGTGCTCAGTCTGGAACCCAAGTTCACCAAAAGAGCTACAAGTAGCTGAAGAGATGGTCAGGCAATCCACAGGAGCCTAGTCGCCTACTGGACCACTGCAGGACCTAAACACCACGTGTTAGAAATCACATCAGCGCTTATTCTGAGACTTAGGGGATCTTACAGCCATTGTCATCACCCCATTCCACTTGAGTAGAACCAAGAATGGAGAAAAGTGCCAGGCCCAGGGCTAGAGAGATGGCTCCACTAGCAGTTAAGAGCACTGACTGCTCTTGCAGAAGACCTGGGTTCGAATCCCAGCACCCACATGGTGACTAACAACCACTGTAGCTCCAATTCCAGGGAATCCAACACCCTCTTCTGTCCTCCATGGGCACTGCACACCATGGGTGCACTTACATGCAGGCATAACACACAAAAAATAAATTTTTAAAAAATTAAAAAGTACCTAGGCCCAGGAGACAGGAGCTGAGGATGGACTGCAGAGAGCTCCTGACAGTGTTCAGGGATGGATGGTGGGAAAGTTGGCTACACCTGACACCTGCACTGTAGTAGACAGCGTCAGTGTTCTGAATCTTCTGTATTTCTCTCCATGGGGTGGCCCCATGTACTTCCTATGAAGATCAAGCTTGTCTCTGGTGTGTGGCATCCCCTCGTGTGGGAGCATTGTATAGTTCACCATGTTGAACTTGAGTGCCCACGTATCTTGTTCTATCTAGTGAAAAGTTGAACAAATTGTTAGATAAGAAGATGGCAGGGGTCAGGATCACTGTGAAACAGAAACAGAGGACTCTGGCAAAACGAGAGTTTAATGGGATGGCGGGGCTGGTCCTCAACTTGGGTGTGAGGAAGAACCAGCTGCCTAATGGCTGCAGAGGGTTAGCTTATAAAGGGAAAAGAATGTGGAAAAAAAAAACTTTTCGGCTGTTTGGGGGGCTGCTTGCTCAGGGAGGGCATGGGGTCTGTACCTGGTGAAACTTACAGAAAAAAAGTCTACTGTAAAACATGTTTTCTACAATTACAGGGTTCCAGGAGCCCACTGCAGCTAAGGGCTTGGGAAACCTGTTTGTCAGCCTGTGGAGCATGCTCCAGTGATCACAATATAGTGGGTCATTAATTCCCGGAGCTGCTTTTGTCAGCTTGTAGGTGGCTGGGAGTTGGTTGACTCAGTTCCTCTTAGGGGCCTTACGGTTTCTGGGCCTGGGGTCGCCTGGATCTGAACCCTATCACAAATGACCCATGCAGCTTGTTTTAAGTTTTACATGGGAACCTGTGCTTTCCATATCTGCCCTGCTGGGAGCCCCACACTGTTGCAGGTAAAAGTGTTGCCAACAGCCTTGGCCTGGGAGCAAAGGCAAAGCTGAGCCAAGCTCCAGCTTAGGAAGGGCATGTTCCTTAACTGAAATATAAAACATTGTCATTAGAAGCCAGTGAGTTTGGGCAGTGGCTTGTTACTCAGCAGAATTTAGCCTAAGTTGACGAATATAGTCTCCCAGGACACTTTCTGGTGGCCATCACTTTGCCTCAGTCTATGAGCAGGTAGTAGTATCAGCTTTGCACAGGTCTGATGAAGTCACATGTCCATGCAGAGTGCTTATCTTTATGTGGGAAAAGGTAAAATGGTCTGAAGACAGTTTTCTTAGGCTCTTAATCACCAGGAATTGGTCCTGTACAACAAAGGACATGGGAGAGTGTACAAGAGAGTGTTTCAAAGATGGTATCTGGGGGCAGAGAAAAATCACTGCTCTTTGATGTCTTAGTCCTGGTCCCATTTTCACCTCATCCTTGGGGGATCTCTCAATCTTCCAGAATTCAGAGCTGTATAGGAAATGGGAATGGAGAGGCCTGGGCTCTGGCTTTGGGAGGAAATAGGAGAGGGCAGTGCCACTTGCTAAGGGCCCGACCACATTTCCTCTGCCTTCAGTAAGGATTAGGGACTAGGAAGAGGAACAAGGCTTACAAGAACGAGGAAGCCTGCTGTCTTTCACTTTACCAGCTAGTACACTAGCTGTAGAATGGACTTCAAAGCATGTGGCTCCGTATTGAGTCCCATTCTTTGAGGTCTTTTGGATTCCCAATAAGCAGTCTATTTGCTTTCCAAAAGTTATTCAAACAAGTGAGATTCCCAAGGTTACTGAGGTTCCTGTTACTGAAAGCAACCAGAATTTCTCTTACCTTAACACAAAAGGGGCAGTGCCTTTTCCAGCACAAGAAAGGCACACATAATGGCATGGCATACGTGCAGAATTGGGCCCAAGGACTGTAACGCGGGGCTCCTGGGGAACACGCTTAGACCCCTACCCCAGCAGAATGCCAAGCTGATTCAGTCACTTCTCAATTGTCTCTCTCATGGCTTGCTGAGGAGGAACACAGGCTGCATTTTAGCCCTACTGTGTTCCTGATTACAACTCTCTTTTAGGGCCTGGGTCTTCCAAGAGTTGGGTTAGGCTTCCTTATGGTTAGCTTATGTTTCCGTTTGGTGAGCTTTGTCTGCCACAGGGTCACTTCTACACAACAGTCCCAGAGCAAACTGCAGCCACCTCCTGAGCCCTTTGCACTCGCCTGTCTTGAGTAGAACTTTCTGGTTCCCTTCACATGGTTAACTTGCACAGCAAGTATTAACCACATACATGGGGTAGGGGGTACTTCAAACTCTTCCTGCAATCTAACCACACCCTGTCACCATTTATTTCCTACCACAGCCATACCAAGCAAATGTTGACCTGGGAATTCTGTAGGAAAAGAGTCAGTGACTGCTATGAGTTTGCCAAGTGTCTCATGAGTTTCTGGCATCCCCGGTTTACCATGGAAGTGAATGATGGAAATGCCAAGCACCCAGCTGGCCTTTCCTCTCTGGGAAGACTATGAGATAGTCCCAGCCTTAGAGACCAGCTTACTTGAGATCACATCTGGGAGAGATGCTGAGCTGCCTTTCTAGAAGGCCCCGCTCCTGTTCAAGAGCACCTACAGGGTCCCCAGGGGTCTGCATAGAGTCTAAGTCTAGCTACTCCCTGAGTGAAAACTCCTTTTGAGAAAACCTCTTGACCAAAAACCTTGTTCTTAAAGTCCTGATCAAAGCACAAACATGCACAGCAAAACAGGAGAACTGAAAGCTCACCCACGATCACCCACAGGAGAGACGCGCAGCTGTCAGGAGAGTATTCCCAAGCCCTACAGCAACAGTGGCTCCCTGGAGTCTTGCTCTTAAGGCCCTTTCTCAGGGACAGCACCATCCTCTCAAGTGCAAATTGCAGAAGTGATCTTGACTCCCCACCCCTGACACTGCGTGGGCATACAGGTCTCCAGGAACAACCTGTCTTCATCCCCACCCACCTGCTTGAGTTCAGGCCCATGCCATCAATTACTTCAGTTGTAACAGTAGCTCACTACCACCCTCTCTAGACTACATTCCCCCCAGTATAAGATCCAAACTGTCATCACACATAAAAATAGTTGCTAGCAAAACGTGAATCTTACTGTTTCTCTTCCAAGACTTTAGAACCAAGCCTCGGCTGCAAAGTCTCCAGTTTCTGGCCTCTATGCACCTGTTTAAAGTGTGACCAGACAGACAGCCCTGGAGACTAAGAACTTGGTGCCCCCTTGAAACATGTATTCTACATGTAGAGATAAGGTGCTTCTTGTTATTTAAAATACCTATTAAAAATAGCATGCACCAAATATTTGCTGAATAGTTAAATATATGAGGTTTACTTGCTTCTTCAAAGGTATTAAATCTTTGTGTGTGTGTGTGTGTGTGTGTGTGTGTGTGTGTGTGTGTGTGTTGGTCCTCACAGGAGTTCAGATCTCTGGAACTGACTTATGGACCAATGGTCCTGAGATAACCATCAGGGATGGTTTTAAGGGCAATTCAGGCAATAGATGAGGGCTGCCCTGGAAGATCATTAAAACCTCTCATGGCTGGTGGCTGTTAAGCTGGTGCAGACCTGTGTGTGCTAGGTTTTGTTTTTTTTTTTTTAAAGTGGCTTGATTGCTACAGGAAATAGCTGCTTGTGCTCCTTTGTATTCAGTTGACCTGGGCTAGGCCTCAGAAGGAGCTGGAAGGGAAAAAGGCTGTGGGCAGAGGCCGGAAAAGAATGCCTCGCCCCTTCCCTGTCCTGTGCCAGTGCTGACTCCGCACTCCTGCCAGGCACATAGCTTTCAATAAATACACAAAAGGACCCCCGAAACCAACACATGAGGGCTTGCTTCCTCAACACATGATACCAGACCTTCTCTACCTACAGAAGAAGGCTTGGTCCACTCTCCTGAATGACCCCACCTCACATGGAGATCCCATCGTTTATCTGAGTTCCTGAAGCAGATCCCACCCGTTCTGAGAAACTACTTTCTGTTATCAAGAGCTGGGAGAGCTGGTGACCCTTTCTACCCTGCTCTGATCTGCTGCTTTTGTATACCCGCTTAAACAAGGATTCAAATGCTCCCTGCTTCAGAGGCTGTGTGAGAAAGAAAATGAGAAAATGTATGCAATGTGCTTAATACAGTGCCTTGTACAGAGCACACAGGTGGGTGCATTCACTGTTCTTGTCACAGGACACATGGCAGAAGATTGCTTCCCTACTTAATGGGCGTGGGTACAAGGTTCTGAACTTTTCTGTGTCTATGCTGTACCAGTGTGCCTCTGTGTACTATACACACACACACACACACACACACACACACACACGCACGCACGCACGCACGCACGCACGCGTGGAAGCCAGAGGTCAATGTTGAGTGCCTTCTTGAATTTCTCTTAGCCTTATCTTCTGAGACAGGGTCTCTCACTGAACTCGACACCCAGCACTCACCAATTGACTAGACTAGCTGGCCAGTGAGCTCTGTGGACCCACTCCCTCCATGTATCAGGGTTACAAAAGTATAAAACCACAACAGACTTTTTTTTTCCAACATAGGTACTAGGAGTC